TTGTGTTTTTTTTTTAAAAAATTATCTTTTCAAACTCTTTGTTTCACAGTTACTTCGTGCTTTTGTTGGTACCAACCTTTGTAATCAATGGGACAATCAACTAGGCCAATTATATTCAGATGCATTAAACTCTCATGTCTGCAGTCAAGAAGCAATGATAAACGATAATAAAGTGAAGAAATATTCTAAAACTCATTTGAAAAGTTAGTGTGCATGATTTCACTACACTTTTAAATTCTACCATTTCATTTTGTTTATCATTATTTTTTCACTGATATCTTTTTACTACTCCACAATAATTGTTTTCACATCATTCTGAATTTAGCCCGTCAGTAATTTGTCTTTCTTTCTGAGTCAATGCTCTCTAAATGACGTTCTGATTTACTGTGTTTGAACTACGTGCGTGTTAAGTCAACACTGAAACCGTCCACAAAATATGATATACCCAAATTAGAAAGTAATTAAGTATGCGAGTAAGATTTTTTCAACAAAATGAAATCAAAAAGTTATCACTGTGTATGTTTATGTTTATCGTAATAGCTGATTGTTAAGTTTTCCTTTTGATTTCGATGACAACCACTAATTCTGAAAGGATTCATTGTAACCAGTTTCTTGGATTCCTCTATAGGCTGTAGTTTTTTTCTTTTCAATATTGATCATTGGTAATTCTCAAAAGATAACAGCAGTTAAAGGAGTTATATGCTTATTGATGACCAAGATCATTCTGTCATGAATTACCTGTTATGAATTACAGTAAAAAATTAAATGCTATGGGAATAAAATATATTATTCAGGTTTTATTGAAATGAAAATAGATATATAAACTTTGGGAAAGTATGACCTGAACAATACATCATTTCATAATTGCATACACATTCAAACTGTTCTGTTTCAATATCCCAAAATGTTTAAACCTAATAATAATGAAGCTTTAGAATGTTGAAAGGGAAAATACTGCCAAAAAACAATTAATGCACACGTAAAAAAGCCTATTCTAACATATCTACAAACTTTATTTTGTGTTAGAGACATGGAGTAAGTTTAAGACTGTTTAGAATAGGTTGCAATTTATTTTTTCGTACTAAAGCTCCTTGACTGTATTTCTCCTTACACTGTCTTGAGCTTTCATCAGTGAGTTTGATGTAATCATATTGTTCCCAATACAAGCATGTGTGAATTTTTGAATTAAAATTTTATTTCCGATGTAAACTAATCCATTTTAACTGTTTTATGAACAGTAGCTTTTTTGGGTGTACGTGATAACTACTGAAATCAAGAAACTAACTACAGAACAAATTTGTACGACAACATAGCAATTACACAAAAGATATGCACTAGACAATGATGAAGGCTATGGCTTCTCATGAATTTTTCAGTGTTATGTCGTCTTCTAATTTTCAAGTAATTACTATATCAAGGAAATCAGTGTTTTTTTAAACATGAAAAAAGGTATCAACATTACTTATATCTCTCATGACAGAACTGCACTTTTTTCATTGTTGTACAATGAGAAGTTATAGGTTCTGTTCGTTAGTGTTTAAAAGATTTATAGTGAAAAAATTTAGCATAATGGTTCTCAAATCCTATTGTCATTTTTAATGGAGTTTTATTAAAGACTACTTATTCACCAGCATAATTTGTTTTAAATTAAGAAAAGAACACTTTTTATCTCAGTCAGTCAGTCAACCAATCATAAGCAACGTTGAACCTAACATTTAAGTTCATCGCTCCAAATTAGTACATCACTTCAATACAACAAGAATATATTATCGAGTTAGATAACATAATAATAGAAGCAATGTTAATACGGTAGTAGGGAGAATTTATTCATAGATTATGTGATTGGTGATATGACAGATATGATTAATTTGAAGAAAAGAGTAAATCAATCTGCACAATTTCGACCGATTCTAAACCATTTCACCCAACGTGTTTATTAACCATCGGTTATGTTAATCGCATGGGACTCACTCAAGTAGTCTGTAGCTATTATCGGGCCTCAATGTAACAGACAGTGAGTTCATGAACCTTCTATGTATACAACAATCAATGCATCTTATTTTGAACTAGCATAAGTTAGGGAAACTTTTTTTTCTTGTTCTTCTAAATCTAAAACAATTAATCCCTTTTATAAATTTTGATAGAACAGTTTATCGGTTCATCTGACGGTAACTGATTTTAAAGCCACTTAGGTACATGTTCCACAACCCTTGATTGCAAAGTCCGATCACTCCTCCCAATTACATCTTCTTACTGTTCTTCTAAATCTGTTAGTTCAGGGTAGATTGTTTCAAATAAGCATCACTGAAATATTCAAATCTTTTCTTTGAGCATTTAGATATTGAACTGTAATACAAATAAGCGAATAGTTGTCTTATCCTAACTGAGTTAATCAAAAGTCATATTTACAACGTGATCTCATATTTTTAACTCATTTTTTCCAAAATTTCTTTCTTTCAATTCATTATTTTGACGGTTATCTATGTATCAGGTTAAAACTAAATATCACACTACTTATTTTGTAGAAATGAAAATCATTTCAGTTAGGTTAGTGTATGACTGATCATTTTTTTAGTGTTTTCTCTTGTGCGTCCTCAATTGTGTTCATTTACTGCCTAGTAGGTTTAGTTGTCGCATCTACTTCTCCCCGTAGTGTCATTTCTGGTATTGTCTTCACCTGTCAACTCCAGGTGTAACTCTCTAACTGAGAGTCGGAAACAGTTATTAATAAAACATACCAATTCGTTTAGTCTCCATACAGTTGACTACTTTGTTACATAACAAATTTACTAGTAAATCTGATTGTATATGATCCATGTAGTTTTAAACTGTATATAACTTGATCATTATATGCACACTTTTGTCTTATTTTGTTCGGAATCAAATAATTTTGTCAATTATCTGTTTGGTGATATTATTCATGTTAATACTTTGTGTCACAATTGTACAGTACTTCACTTTTGATTAACATTTCAGATACTATCGATTCCCATGTCAGTAAATTATTACACCAGAATAAAACATTCACTAATTATTTATGTGATCAAAATGTATTGGAAGAAAACAAGACTTGTTGTTGGATTACAAGCTCAGAGCTGTATCAATCACCAATTTCTGCATGGATTCGTTTTGCACGTCAACGTCGTATTCCAATCGGTCTTAAATATGCAAATAGTACAGAGAGAATGGTAGCTGCAACGCCAACTCAAACAATGACTATGCCAACGCTAAAGATTAAAGTGAGATTTCAACTTTAATCTTTATTTTACTAGTGATGAAATGTAAATATAAATATAGGAATTTTCATCTCTCATTTTAAGTCTATCATTTCTTATGAAAGAGAAAAGGTACTCTTTTCAAAATCACTCTGTTAGATCATCTTTTGTGACAAGGATTACATAATGACCTTGTTAATGAATATTTGCATCATGTCAATCTAATTACTTATTTTCTTGTGATTGTCCGCGCGTTCATAAAGATCGATGTCAAACCTAATAGTGTTTTATATAACATTTAAGCCGTATACCACAATTTTCATATTTTTATAACAATGTGGTTGAATTTTATTAACTTATAACCCCAAGTTCATTCGAATTTTAAACAGTATTGTTGTGGTGGAGTTTCATTCTCTGAGCTGAATAGTTTGGTTGTGGAGCTTTCATTGTTCCTCTGAACAACATCATCAGCACAAACTTCACGTAAAAGTGAAGTGTTCAGATTTTTCCATGTATGACTGGTAGCTTATCCTATAGGTTTCGATCTTGATTGGTTGCTATTGACCTTAAACTTGTCATTGTTTGCATCTTTATTTTGATAGTATCCCCCTTTTATCTGTTTCTTCATTCTATGTTCGTCTGTAATTTTTTTGATTGGTTGATAAGTTGGATTAATATTAATGTGTTCGTTGATAGCTGACTGAGTTCCAAGCTCCTGAAAATTCTCTAGTGTTCTCTGTACTCCTTCTATCTAATATTTCAACATTGTCCATAATTGTGGGTGTGTATTGATATCAGGGAAGAAATGTAGAGGCGTTTAACTGATTACTGATTTTCACGCAAACGAAGCTGAAGAGGACATCCACCTTGTCTTACTTTGTGTTTTTTTACAATCTGAGCTGTTCATTTTGTAGATGATATTCGGTTTTTTCTTCTTTTGTCATTTTGTAATTTCGGGTTTGGATAGAATTGCTTGGAGTGATCCTCTTGGTTTGTGCACTACACCTATTCCAAATGGTTTCGGTAGTCGTGTTGTAATTTCCGATATTTCTTTTACATATGGTAGGATGATCTGTTTGTTGGTTCCTGTACTTGATTTCACTTCTATTGATGGTTTTAGTTGGTATTTTTTTGATGTAGTTGAGTGGATATCCGTTCTTTTGGAGGATAATCTTTAGATATTTCCTTTCCTTCCTTTTTTGTGTGCTTCACTTATGTTTTAAGTGTTTTCATTCGCTCTCATCATTGATTTATATAAATCGGAGAATTATTGAAGAACTACTACTGCTTTTTATGGTCATAGAGACCTGTTTTTTCCTTAAAGGTTTTACGAAATTCAGCAATAAATTTCAAATAAATGAAGTAACATTTGATAAGGTTAAATTATCAAATAAAATTTATTTCTATATTTTTGGTGAACATTCAAATTGGTACAATGTACATAAATTGAACAGTGTTATTCTCAGTTACATCTTCATTAGATCGTATTCTAATGTCCACTAATATTTATATGTATACATGAAAAACAAGCCAATCTAAATTATTTGAGAGTTAGTGATAGCAACTAAATAAGATTGCATAACTATTCAAAACAAGTAATAATAATAATATTATTGCGAAACAAGAAATAGGTCAAAGCAAATGAAAAGGAAATTAATAAACTAGTAATTATCAAGCATTACATAAATGATCAGTGTAAATACATAAAAGTAATAAAGAAAGAATTGGTCAGATCGTCTTTTAAGTTTCTTTTTGACCAATGACGGAGCTGAGGTATGATAAACTTCTTTCGTATACAAATACTACGGTTCTAAGTTCAAACACCTATAGGTTTAATTATATTCAAAAGATAAGGCCAAACTCCATTGACTCCGCTAGCATTATATAGCCACTATTGATCAAGTATGGTACAACGGAGCGGTGTATGTATTTTATCTTTATCTTAAATGGAAGCTATTTAAGAGTCTCACTGATCATTTAACAGCAAGAGGAAAAACGCATTCATATTAAAGACTGAAAAAATTATTTAGAATATGACTATCAGTCATTAATCTATCGTTGGAAATGGTAATCAAAGTTAATCTGATCCTTATAAATCTATTCTCGAAAAGTTCGAATTTGGCACCACTTTAAACTGTGACACTCCAATCAGCATTAAATCATCCATACAAATTTCCTATTAAAATTCAATCATCATAATACTGTGTAGACCATTATCATATTTTAATATTGTGTTTTATTATTAGTTGAATATTGGTTACATTACAATTAACCAATTGGTAGTCTTAAATATTTACCCTTGAAACTTCAGAGCTCCATTGATATCTGTTTAGTATTCATGCTGTATTATTTTCAGATTATATACAATAAACTTATTAATTAGACTGTCAAAATTGAATATATATCAGAAGATAATACTTCAACAATTTACTTTTATTTATTTATTGTTTCCTAGTTTGATGCTCAATTATTTTTTAAACGTCTTGAACATATTGTTCTATGTGGTATGGAAAATTATAAATGGACAAATTGTTATTCACTTCAAACTAGTATATTAGATTTATTAATTCATTTGATATATTTACGTATGAATTATTGTCAACTTGATATACAACAGGTATAGTGATTGTTTTGCTTTTTTTTTGATATGTTTATGTATATAGTTTGTTAACTTACCCTCTGGTATATTATGTATATTATTCCCAATCTCAAAAACTTGTTTGTCGTAGATTCCGGTGCACACGGGGTTTGTGATTTAATCACAGTGTAATCGCTTAACTAACTCGTGTTATCTAATTCATATGTCTAAAGTAATTAATCCACACTTGATCTGTTAAAGTGTTGATAAATTTTCTAATAGTTGATATACTGAGAAGACTGAGGCAGACGAGGAAGATTGTATTATGCAAATTTACACTCTGAGTCAGTTAAAAACGAAAACATTACATTGTATACTCTATTTGCACACCATCTTTGAGTCGTGACTTCCAACACTCCATCCTTCTTCCATTCCTGTTGGTACTCCATTTACTTCTTGCTTTTGTTCCATTTGCTTTCCGTTTTCCTCTTCTGACCGTGAGACTTCTTTCACGTCCCTTCTTATACTACTTATATCATTCATATAAGTAGCACACACCACATACAACCTATAAAATTGTGGTTAGTAATCATTTAAAAGTGTTTACTGAATATCTTAATTGAAATTTCTTCGTGAAATCACTAGACGTTAATGAGTAAACTAAAGAGTATTTATCTTATTAGATTATTAACAAAATATTTGTAAATGACTGACTAGTTAGTATATTGTGAAGACATTTCATTCTATGCTCGAGATATTTATCCTTTCTGTTATGAATGAGTCAAATAACTTGGTTTTTGATTGACATCACGAATGTGTATTAACTAGACCATGCATCATATACTCTAAATAATTTTTATTTTTTACAGAAATTTCTAAATACTGTACTTAGTCATTGTGAGAATCTGGCGTCAGAAATTCAACGTCTTGAGACAATATCCATGATGAATGTCGGTCCTTCAAATAATCAATTCAATAAAGGGAATCAACAATTAAATTTAAATAAAAAATTTTCATCAAAATCTTCCATATCTTCAACATCTACTTTTCGTGAATACTGCGATTCTGATTTATTTCTGTTTCCAATGGTGAATTTAAGAGAACCAACTATAGTACAACAACATCAACGTCTTGTAAACGCTTTATTCCGTTTTTTGGTCACTTTAACTTATCAGTATCGTGTAATACCTCCGTCTTTAACATCAGTACCATCAACATCAACACATACACAATCGAAACATTTAGATTCTGGTAATTCTGAAAATTCAACAACTTCTGTTGCCTCAACTACTGCTAGTGTAACTAGTGACAATGACGATACAGTTGATTCACGCCTTGTCGAACTAAGCCAGGTAGGTCTGTATTCTGGTCTTCCATTTTTCCCTCATTCTTGTTATTATTGTATATTCTGCTTTTATTGAAAAGCGGTCATTGCATAATCCACTATTTTATTGCGTTTGTAATTGTTCTACTAAACTAATGACATAATCATTCGTTTTTTTTTATGTGTTTGTTCCAGGTTGTACATTTAGCTGAATCATTAGCAGCAGAAACTCATGATCCTGGCAGTGTTGTATTCACTGCCATGATTCCAGTAATTGTTGATTTATTTGTCATTCAACAACCATTATGTCAATTAATTAATAATCCAAAAGAAAATATTGATTCATCAACTAAAATACATCAGATTCAGTAAGTTCTGCTGAGTGATATTATAAAGTTAGTTTTTTTTTCTTCCAATTTCAATGTCTAAGATATTGAATCCATTTAACTGTTCATCTGGGATAGAATATTTGGAAATATTGTCTCAATAATATTACTGAAGTTTACTCTCTTGTACTTATCCAACTTGTTTTTGCTTACCTCAGTATTAAATGTCCAATTTCCCACACTCAGCTTTCTATGAAATGACATGACTTCTATTCTGTAGCAAAACCTACTAAAATTAGAACGAGAAATTTCTATTTGATTGACATCTGAATATAACGATCTATATCAAAGCGTCTAGTGAAACAATAGAGAATCGCATGAAATTGAAATTCATCAAAAACAAAATTTTGTCTAAAGAACGGTCATTTTATTCATGTATCAACTCCACTTGGGTACAAACACTAACTCGTAAAATGTCTAAAGCGATCTACTAATTAAAAGGGGCTTCTTGTAACCATACCATAAAAAAATAATTACAACGTACAATAGTGTAAATGACAATTGATAACTTTGTCTAACATTGTCGATAAACAAATATGGGCTTTATTGCGTTCAGACAAAGATTTAAGTAATGTACAAATCAGGGAATAATAGTTACTTCAGTATGAATGAAAGTAATTATATCAATAGACACTACCTATGCTATCAGTATATGTAATTACTTTAGCATATCATACAATAATATCATTGACATTGCACCTCATATTTAGAAATTTTTAAGGATCAAATTGTTTACCATACTTTTCCTTGCATAGAAGGATTTGAAGGATCTGATTTTGACCGATTTGGTCTCGTGTGGTGTTACGGGTATGAGGGCGGTTGTCACTTCCCGGCTGCCCACACCGTGGAAGGTTGTTTCTTGAGGGACTTGAAAAGGAAGGTAGATTAGTGTTGGTCTTAGAGACCTGGGTGCGTGACCGCAGAACCTAGGGGATAACTGCTTGAGGTCGGTCACGCACGGCCTTTTTATGAAGGGTATTTTGAGTGTTAGCTCCGCTCTTGAAAGCCCTTTGTGGGCAACCTTATCGCCAGAGACGGAAATCCGTGAGGTGTGACATTTTTAGGGTCGACCTTTTCTAACCCTTCCTTCCTTGTGAGAACGCAGCATCGCTGCAGATGCTGCAGATGTCCGAGGGAAACACCTTACTGCTGTCACACCTCTCTGCAGTCAGCAGTACGACTTCACCCTCAGATCTTGAGTAGCTGCTTTTAGTCTCATCGACCTGCCTGGTATGGTAGGACCTACAGGAACATATGTTCCCAGCAATATAGCTCGGTTGGGTCATGACGATAGGCAATCCCGACCACCACGTCAAGGTAGCATAATATATTTATTAAGACTTTTTTGAATTTGTGTATTGTGTTTTTCATTCAAGAATTGTAATCATATTTCGTTTTTTCCTGAATATTCATATGACATCTCCGTCGTCAGTATCCAGTATCGCGATAAAGTTTAGGCTTCTTGAGAATTTTGTTACGTGTAACGTGTATTACTATATCTACTAAACTACCCAAAATATAATGTATTGCAAAACTTACACAGTTGAAAAATAGCTAATGCGTAAATGATAGAAGCTCATCGAAATCCTATTATTGTTTACTTGAGCGTATCGTTATATCTTTAAGCGATATGAGATAATGGTTAACAAAATCTAATCCACCATTTATATTTTTCTTTATCTGAAACTTGTCAGAAAGATTCACTTGCACGTTTTATGATGTTTACACAGAGGCTTGAGTCCTGTGTCCCTCACTTCAAACTCTGTCGCATTATTCACTGAGTCCAGATAGCTAGGTTGTGCAACGTCAGTAGATTATACTTTATTTAACAGGGTTTGAATCGCGTTATTTATGTGTTAAGGACTACAATTGATGTGTTTTTTTCCACAAATCTGTATTGTGAACTTATATCGTGACAATGCATCCAGAGTGTACATATTCCAAAAGAGACCGGTCAATTACAGTCTTTCACAATGGGGAGATTCATATCCTTGCAACTGAATCATTGTTATATCTTTTGAAGATTTTTATTCTTAATAAACATTTGTACTTTATATTCACCTACATGGTTAAGTACAAAAAGCAAAAACAAATCCGTTAATAACTTGGCTGTATTTAAAATACAGGCTATTTTCAATCATGTAACTCATCTGCAAATTAGAATCACACTTTTCTGATGAATAATTCTTTCAAAATAATAATAATAATGTTAATTTATTTAAACTATCCCGAAATTTCTGTATGTCGACATATTTTTTTCTTCAATAAAAGATGTCTAAGAATTTCTCAACATTCATCTTGCATACTTTAGTTTGTGGACAAGACTTAATTTTTATTTCTACGTTATTTTTTTTCTTAAAATTTTAAATAGACAAGCAAACGCTCAACGTGAAACGATTTTTAGTTTGCTTGTACGTCGACTTAGTCATTTGCCAGCTAGTTATGATCAAATCGCATTGATACTTGAAGAAGTAAATCTATCCAGAAAAATACGCAAAAATGAAAATTCCATCGGTATCATTGACTGTTTAACCCAGGTATCATATTGTTTCATTCAACAATTTTTTTATGAGAATAATCTCAAATCTGCCTACTTTTAACGTTTTACCTGAAATAGATATTGTAGTCAGTTATTACACGTCTGTTTAGTGGGTGGTAATTTGAATTCTACCAATCAAGATGTAGTATATTAATTTTTTTCCAAAGCTTTTTATGAAAGTGATTGAACTATGATAAAAAATTACATTTTTTATTTTCCAGAGAAAAGTTTTTTAGTTTCTATCTGATGAAATTGATTTGTTTAAATGATAAAATATAAAATAGGACCCATTCGCTACCTGATCTACTCCGTAGAATATATAATTTATCATAAAATCGTTGATAATGAACGGCTCGCAAATGAGAAACTATGGTAAAATTATTAATAGTCACCTCACGCACTGGAACTGTATGTAAATTGCCTTAGGTTCTTTATTAAAACATTACCGTACACAGGGAAAAACTCCATCAAATAAAGTTTTTTGGGTTTATGCTCGATCCTATTATTGATGCAATTTTTAGTCGCCAATTAATCGATACAATAAAGTAAAAGTTTAGATTAATAGGGAGGACCCGTCTATCTTGAAGCACTCCAACCCTAATTACATTATACAGTTCAAACTACTTGCTATTATTAAGTAGCTCAGTTTTTTCGTACAAAATAAAAATGTGGAGGAGCAGTCTAATATCATTTTTCGAAAAATTTGGTTGATTCAAAAATATTTTTCATTTCAGACCTATATTAATGTAACTATATGGGTCATTTCTTTTTATTAAACTTCGAAAACTGTTTATGATGTACCTTTATAGCTTAACGTAATCAACTTCCAATCAATTTAGGTTTAAAAGATTAAGCAGCATTATTGCCCTTCCCCCTCCATATATATATATATATATATATATATATATATATATATATTAGTTTTTATGCGGTTTATAATCACTAAAATTTGCTTAGTATACCTCTGTTAAAATCATATTTATAGATTTCGAATCATATCCTTTCACATCTGGCTACTGGTATAGCACAAATCGATAATCGTGCTGATTTCGATGCCCTTCAACGTCTTCTAAATCATCTAGTTATGATTATTAATTCTTTAGAAGAAAATGATTCAGCTCAAGTTGTTTGGAATATCATTTTAAAAGTTGAAGAAGTTTTCTATAATGAATTTAATTCTAAAGTGAGTGTACATTTTTCTATAATTACCTATAACACTTGCTATCATATTTGAAAATGTCATATATATGCGTAGCAGTTAAATTTTTTTACGATGTTATTTGCCGCATCGTTAAATGTGCCTACGTTATGGTACTATGTCTATCGTGAGAATTACAAAGTTCACGCTAAAAATATCCCAATCAACTTAATACAGAAATCATATGATCTTATGAGAATTTTTATATGTGCTATATATATGCTGTAATTTAATTTCATTCTTTAGCTAACATTTTGAAGATGATTCAATTTTCTATAAAAGAAATGTTATTTGATTAACAGAATTCAGCACTATGGTAGGGCTGAAACATATTTACAAAAAAAACAGAATTCTGGCCTGTTTAAAAAATTCACCCGCATAAGTTGATAATACTAACTTTTAACTGTTGTCACAGTAGAATAAAACGCTATCTTGTTTACGAGATAAATTCGATAATAGAATAAGACTACCACTTGATACACAAGACATCGACTGAAACACTTATATTCAAATATACGATTCTCTTCATCATTCCATAAACGTTAACACTGCAAATCACAGAGTAAAACTGTGCTTCTTCGCTTCATTCAGAAATACGAATGTACCCGTTATCAATCTCCACAAAGGTCTAGAAATACCAGGAAATTTATTACCCTTTAAGCATTGAATAAATAGTTCTCAGAAACATGTAGAAAAATGAAAGGTAGCGTATCACTTTTTGTTTGAATTATTGCTTACCTATCAAGGTCACATGAAATTCTCTCATAACACTCGATTATCTGTACATAGTTAACCTTGGAGTAAAGCTTTTTACTCACATTTCGTGCTTTTTCTCTCTAGTGTTTAAATTAAATTGTATAATTCATTATAGGATATCCTTTAAAATAACTACAATCTATTTTTGAAAATTCTAATTTGTTCCAACTTTAAAATCATTAAATTATGTTATATAGAAATCAAGTTACATGAAATGTATCAATGGATTTTTCTATTTTCCTATTCAAGTTGCTGTTTTCTCTCTTATCTTTCTTAATTCTTTTTTTAGATACTTTTAGACAGTCATAATATAATGCATTTCATTCGTTGGACTGTGACACAAGTTTTCTGTAGTCGTTTCCTTTTTCACTTATTTCATTGTGTCATAAAACGATTACGCTCAACTCATGCTGTTGATATCTCTAAACAAGTAACAAAACTTTTTGAGTAAGTTAATACATGTTTATTTGTTTGTTATTTTATTAAAATAACAGTAATAATATTGTTTTACACAATACCATAATCATGTTAGTGCCATCATCGTTTTAGGTTAAATAAATTCTAAGTTTAAAAGTTAAATTTCATTCTCATTTTGTTTGCTATCATTAATTTAAAAAAAAATTTACTTCCTTTCAAGAAACTTGAAAAACGAATTGTTTTTTCCTTTTCTAGTTGTAAACAATATTCATTATCGAATTCTTTTCAGCGATCAATTTGAATCATTCAAACGACTTAATGAACAAGTTATTTAGAATGCAGCTGCTACTTTGTCTTGGTGGTCGGGCTTGACTATCGTGATGACTCAACCGAGCTACGTTGGCTGGAATATATGTTCCTGTAGGTGTTCCTATGCCAGGCAGGTCGGTTAGAGAACAATGAGACTATGATCAGCTACCCAAGGTCTGAGGGTGAAGTCGTACTGCTGACTGCAAGGGGGTGTGACAGCAGTAAGGTGTTTCCCTTGGAGAACCTGCATCTGCAGCAATGCTGCCTTCTCTCAATGAAAGAAGGGGTTAGAAAAGGTCGACCCTAAAAATGTCACACCACACCCTACCCCACGAGTTTCCGTATCCGGCAGTAAGGCCTTTTGAACAAGGACGGAACTAGCACTTTAAATACCACCCATAAAAAAGCCGTGCGTGACCGGCCTCAAGCAGTTGTCCCTTGGGCTGTGTCGTCACGCTACCAGGTCCCTAAGACCGACACTAATCTACCTTCCTGTTTAGGTACTTCAAGAAACACTTTCGCGGTGTGGGCAACCGGGAAGTGACATCCGCCTTCATATCCCTAACAGCACGCGAGACCTAACTGATCACAATCAAATCCTTCCTACACCTCCTAACATCTCTCATCTATTCGTCAATCTGATCGACTCATTTAACACAATAATATAGACTTATTTTTATATTTGTCTGTTAGCGTGAGGACGTTTTAGTGATTATAATTGAAATCGGTTGTTTTTATTTCAGACCAAATATAAGTGTTGATATAATATTTACTCAAATATAGACTTATTCTTCAAAATCAATAGTCGGTTGTAGACATTGATTAATATCTGTCAGAAATTTCCATTCGGAGTCATAGAACGCATCATTAAGGACGTATTTATATATTGTACCTAATACAGTGTTTATTCAAAATAAGCACTTATTACTCTTTTGAAGGGGGATTCTTTAGCAATATTTCAAAATTAACAGAAAACTTTAACATGAATACTTTGTTGAAAAGTATCTTTTTCGTCTGAAATACAGTAAATAAATAAATTTCTGGCACTCCAATGTGTCTAAAGAATACAGCTTATTAATGCGAATTAGTTTTAATTGATTCAACATTAATATTATTGATATCATGAATAGTGTCTAGCAGATCTGTTTGTTATAATTTTCTTATCACCTAGTTACATTCTTTCGCATTACAAATGATGGATTGTACAAATCCTTGGTTCTACTTGCAATATATACAATAGAACTTGTTATTCTTGAATGTAAAAATGCTAAAAATCGAATTTTACATTACCAAATATATATATATATATATATATATATATATATATATATATATATGATATTAGATTTTCTTTATTTAAGTATATCAGAATAAGATTTACATTCATCATTCACACTTTTACCTTTCATTTGAAAATTCTCACTTTTAATGTGTAAAACATACTCTACAATTCGCGTGTTTGTTCTGATTGCCTACTTAGTGTGTGACTACCAGATTAATTAATGCTAAATCATTTCTGTATAAAAAGTGAACGTTAAGAAATTCATATGAACAAGTGACCAAATTCATTATTATTATTATTATTATTATTATTATTATCATTATTATTATTATTTCTATAGACATTTTATATTGTAACATAATAGGAAAAAAATATCTACCATTACGAATCAAAAACATGTTGACTTAATCTCTGCTTAATTTATTTATATATATATATTTTTTTCATCTCAGGCATTCATTGTTTGCATTTCAACAAATGATTAATGGTATAAAATGTTTCCTACTTTATGAACCAGTGATTATTGGTCAATTAACGAGTTTAGCATTTGATTATTCACTGAAATCTAGTAATCTCATTCTGTTGATTCATCTATCTTTGAATCATTTATTGAATCTTATAGAACTAGTGAAATCAGGTAAGCTAACAATTGTAACCTAGTTGAGATATGATTTAAAGACTGTGTTATTGTTTGTGTAATTCGTGTACATTCTTTCTTGGTTTAATTAAATATACTCTTCATTTCTTTATTGATCATATAAAAATTTGTTACCTCGACTAAAATACACCTAAAGATGCACTGTAAAAAAGTGTAATTTCGAAAATATTTAAAAAAATACATGATATTTACAAAATATCAGGTTTTACGTGAATCATAAGTTCAACCGTATATGTGCTACCTGTCATAAATTCTATTTTCGATTGTTTCTAGTCAACGCATTTCCCCATTTTCAAGTTATCCTCTTCCGATAATCCATCACTCTCAAAAGTTAGAAAGCTCAATTCGACTGCTCACCAATCAAGCTATATTGAATTCTATACTTTCACAACTCTCTTAATCAATTAAGTCACTCAGTAGGTAGAAAGTTTTCATTGTATTTGGATTAAATCTCGTTCAATATAAGTGGAATATCATTGATTCGATAATCCCGTACTTAAAAAATCATTATTTTATTTTAGAGTTTTTGTTATATGATTATTCATTTGAATTTCATTGACTAGATGATATTTTATGTCCTAAATCGACTATACTTCTAATTTCGTGGTGGATACTACTCACAGAGTGGTTTATAAGTAATATGCACCGGTGTCACTCAGAAGTTACCACCGGCAGAAAGAGAATGCATTTTGCGATCAAAGTGTTTTGAAGAATGAAAGACATATGAAAGTAGACTGTCGATAAAATGCTTGTTTTACAAATGGGAATCGAAAGATTAATTGTACAGATTTTGTTAGTAAACTCTGTCTTCTCTAAATATACTACTATTCCATCTGATATTAAAGCCCTCATTCATTACACTGTGATTTTAGTTTTTCATAAAGTCTACGCTAAAATTTTTTTTACCTCACTAAACTTCATAGATGGTCAAAGGAATATTAGTATGATTCGACGCCTGCGCACATCTTAATCGCAAGGTTAAGACGACTTATATGCTCAGTATTTTTGAAGACATTGTTATGTACTTATTAAATACATAATTATGTTGAAGGTCGGTGCTAAAAACAATTTTTGTACTTTACTGATCTTTTAAATCTTATTTTTAGACTTTTGGATCAATATCGAATGGGACTTTGAGCGTACATTGTCATTAGTCCAGGTATAACGATATAATTTACTCAGTTTACTCAATTCATTTCCATTCTTTCTTATTTAATTGACTACATTTTATACTAAACCGATTGTAGCATGTTTTAATTTTCTATTCATTTAGTCAATTTTCCATAGATTATCTGACAAATAATAACCGTCGATGTGATTTCAGATTCGTTAAACATATAAACAGATTTAAAATTAAGAAAATTCAGTAGATATGTTCATCATGTTGAAGTGCTACACATGTATGTATTAAGCTAATATAATTTACTTTTACTATTTGATTCATATATTATTCTTAGTCAAACTATACACAACAGACTATTGAATAAAGGTGTGACACTTTTTTATATGTGTATATGTAAGTTTTCCTAAGAAATTAATTTAACTCTAATCGTCTCACAATCCTTCAGTGTTATAGATCAATTTAAGCCCCTTATTAATTTTCGTAACCATTGATTTTTATAAAAAAATTATTTACTGATATAATAAGGATATTATTTCGTACGACTTAATTATTCCTATGAAAAGAAAACTATACCTGAAACTAATATGGTTTTGACATTACGATTTGTAGTCAATAAATAGTTTATAAGGTGTGTGCATTAAAAATCAGTCACTCGTAATCAACTGATAATCCTTGGATTAATTTATAAACTGAATCCTACTTATGCCTGTTATGTATATTGGAACATAGGCTGTCGACCAGGATTCTCCAAATTTCTCTGTTCTGGACCCAACCACTGTTCAATCTTTTGATGTCTGCTTCTAATTCTCGGCATCATGTGTTCTTTGGTCTTCCTCTTTTCTTTTTGCCTTAAGGATTCCAAGTGATGACCTGCCGTGAGATGCAATTGGGTGCTTTGCTCAATGCGTCTCCTATCCACCTCTAGCTCTTTTTCCTGATTTCTTTCTCAACTGGAACTTGTTGAGCTTAGCGACCTCATCCCATAGAAAACCAACTTGCTTAAAAAAAATGCTAACCAGAACAAATAAAATGAATCTGTTCATGTTTATCAACATATAGGACTTAGTATTCGATCCCTAACTTTGTGACTCCCTGATTAAACTTTGACAATAATTTTGAAATGTAAATTTTAAAACATACACTTGCGGTAAATTAATCGTTGGACAAAACATCATTAGCGGAGGTATTTCCAATAATTTAGATTATTCTATTTCACAAGTAATCTGCATAATACTATACACATTGTAAGCATTATTTATTCTAAATAAAAAAAATTATTCTACATTTCTACAATCACTAGTGTTTAAATTCGAATTAATCAGAATCAATTAATTCATACTTAATAATGTTTCTTATTTTTTTTCTTTCTTTCATTTCAGTTTATTCAAAAACAAATTTATTCACTTGGAAAATATGAACCATTACTTTGTTTATTATGGTATCAATTGATTTATTCTAAAGAATTAAATCTAATGAATAGAATACTAAAACATTGTCACATCAAATCATTGTCTGACAGCTATAATCATGAACAACAACACACTGATCCTATTTCATTTGAAATATTTTCGCCTAATCATTTGATTGATTTGAACTGGACAAGTTTAAATTTGGAAATTGTTCATCAGTCCATCATGATAGCATATATGCAGTCACAATTGAATTCGTCTAATGTATGTGAATATCATTTCGAATAGTGTATATACGGGGAGGGGGATTTGTCTGTTTGAAATTACGGATTGTTGCTTCGTTTTGTTTGAAAATTTAGTATCAGTTTGATAAAACCAATGAATCTATGAATGATTTGGCTTAAACTTTTATTATGTTTATCTATTGAAGCATGACTAGTGAAACTGTATCATCACCCTTAACTCAACTTAATAATGATGAGTTCATACCGTAGCATAACGTTCGCTATAGGGTTATGGAGATTGTTTAGTTTCATTTAAATCATAAGTCGACCAATGTTAGACCACCTTTAAAAACCTGAAAATACCGGACGGCCGTTTCTTCTTGGTAAGGGACTCATCAGCAGTGAGTATCCACAACTCTCGCTACTCGCAGGACCTGAACCCACGACCTTCGGTCTTTGGCGCGAGCGCTTAACCTCTAGACCACTGAACCGGTACCCAACAGTGTTAATATCTAACTTCCATCAAGCCACGGTCTTGCACAACCTCATCCACTATCTTCGGGCAGTACTACTTCATACCCGACAAGGTTGAACTCCGCTGGTCACACAACTCACTAAAACTGGTATAGTTGACTATAAGTATCTGTTTTAGTGGAATAAGTCCATGACATTTTTTCTCAATAGAATTAAGCTCTTCTGAGAAAATAAAGTATTCTTTATTCAGATACTTGAATTTTCTAACAATCTGTCATTTTCTAAATAAGCATCGATACTTTCACTGACTCTTAGTGAGTGAACAATATTTGGGTATACCAGTGTAAAATTCTGCTTAAACACGATTGATTAAATCTATAAGACTGACAACCGAAATCAATTCACTAGTTTAAAACTTTTGTTGTATAAACCCTAGTCATTATTTATCTTAATATTAGTTGGAATTGAAGCTTCACGGGAAAAAAATCAATGAAAGTAAGTTAGGTTAATACTTAAAGTCAACTTAGAAATTATCCTACTGTCATCTTTAACTATATGGATGATTTCACATACTCCTCTTATAATTTAAGTGAATTATATCTACATAACAAACCTTGATCATATTGTTCTCATTTTCTTCACATTATCTATAGTTCATTTTAATATTTAATTTCTGTTGTTAGTTTTGGGTTTATATTTTTGTTTGAGTCGTTAGATCCCCAGAACTCACTTAGAAAAAGTTCTAATTTTGTAATTTATTTCTGAACTTTCGAATTTTTTATGTTTTCGCGCATAAGACGCTTAGTTGACTTTCATCTTGCATATCCCACTCGGAAAATCCTTGACTGTCATTGGTTGACGGGTTTTTTCAGTATACTGTTTTGTGGCTCTCTCAATGGCGTTTCTTTCTGTATCTTTGAGCTTCTTTCCGTTTACCGAGTAAGGGGAACTCGTAATAGCATTCAAGCATATCTCAGTCCTTATTGTTAATTCAAATAGATTACTTTTAAACACTATCAATTCGAATAAATTATTATGAATGGTAAATATGTCTTACTTACTTATAAGATAAAATACATAACGGATACTACTAACATTTTTTACTTATTCTATTGAAGGTTGATATTGTCTTACAGAATCTCTTACCACCAGTAAATGATCGTCATGCAACTTATTCATACCAAAAGAAAATTATGCGATTACTTAATATGTGGTATTCAGGAGAATTGATTGTTTGTGATTTAATGTCGCAATTATCAAATTCAAAGAGTTCATTTAAACAAATTCACGATGGATTGATGGAAAATCTATCTTTTATGGTAAGATTAAGTTGATATATTTTCATTCAAAGTTATTTTAATTTCAAAACAAAGAGAACTTAAAAGCTTTATTTAAAGTCAATTCAAGTTCAGGCTCATATTACTTCTTGTGATCAGTTAATTCAAATCACTGCTTAGTAATATAGCTCAATATTTTATATGCTACTTACGCCTGTTACTTACTCCTAATGGAGCATCGTCCGACGACCAGCGAATCATTTCTCTGATTAGCGTTTTTTTAGCAATTTGTATTTCTACAAGATTGGGTCGCTAACCTCATACTCACTCCTCCTCCTTTATCCGGGCCTGGGCTCAGCAGTAACCTTAGAAGGGCTCCAGGTAGGCTCATGATCCATCATATTGACTGTCCTAATTCGATTACGTAGAACAGTTCTTATTCAGATAGGTAGTTTAATATCTCATATCTTTAAACTTAGGAACTCTGATTACTAATGATGCGTTACTTGTTCTCTTAGTTATTTGATCCAATATCGATTCAAAATTAAGCTTGGTGATTTTAGCCAAACTGCTTTTTTCTTGTATCACAGTCTTCACGTACACTCTTATTGTGTCGTGTTTTTCGCCACTCCTTTGTTGAAACAAGCAACTTTAATCATACCAATGTAGCATAAAAATTTCATTTTCGATGTATTACAACTCATGGATTGTCCATGATATCTTGAGACATTCATCTCGAAACAAATCACTAATGGCTGTTCAGCATTACTCAGCTATCCCTAGTTCATGATGAATGTTAGCTTTGAAATGAACCAATCTTCACGAACACACGATTGACAAAATTGGGAAAAACTATAGCCAGCACATAACAACCGAAAACTGAGAACAGATTATATATAATCACAAGTACTCTATAAAGACGAGATGATCAATCTTCCCTCTGCGTATTATCCAATACGACTCAATCAAATCGAGAACAAGAATAATCGGGATTTGCTTCAAGACAACTGGTGGTGGAACAAAAGTCGAAAATGAGAGGCACAAGTTTATGTTATTAATACGAAATTTACTGGGATTTTCAAAAATCTTTTATCTATACTTATCGGCTATAAGTGATGATTTCACTACTTTGAATCGTTGTTAAACTAATTCATATACGAATCAGTCGTAAACACTCAATGACCAGGATCATACGTTCAAACGCAGTTTGTTAATATCATCAATCTGATTCCCTACGTTATTAATTTATTCACTTTAGATTAGACCTAAAAATTAAGTCAACTAATCACTTTCTGTATTTGAATTTTAACAAATAAATAAGCCATACGTATTTGGGTGATTTACTTAATTATTCTTAAAGCCAGAAGTTTTTATGATTTGTATAAAGTCACTTGTTAGTCAGTAACGATACAAGAGGATAAATCTAGATAAATGTAGATCCTTTCGGGTGATCTATCGTATACCTCCATCATTTCCCAACGGAGTTCGATCCCGTCTCCTACACATTGCAGAAGCCATAGGAATACGTACATTCAACCCTAATTTATGTATTCAGAAGAAAATCGTGACACCCCTATCTCTTCCGTGGTCGGATATGACGTAACTAACGATTGACTATATTTTTTATTTTATTTTTATTTTTACAGATTTGCTTATTACGTAATGTATTTTTGATGTTTCTTGATGATTATTTGAATTCTATTCATCCACCTTTGACCTACTTTAGTTATCATATTTTATAAATTTTCCTACTATCCACTTGTACTTTTGCCTTTTTCATTTCATTGTGATTATCACTCAAATTGCCTTGGTTGGTTTAACATTTTCATATAAATATTCATGTATATTAGAGAGTAGAGCCTGATGACGATCTAATCGAAAACAATATTGTTCGCTTATATGTTCTAATTTACACATGAGGAATTCCTCACCCATAATTTTAAAATGTATCAGCTTTTATTCAGATACATTGGTCTTTGTGCAATTCACATTGTGTATAAATCTCATAACTAACAAAATAAAACTTATTACATCCACAACCGAACAAGACTAATAATCATGGTTATATGTAAAACATTTTAATGTAAACGAACAGTTATTTTTTATCATTTTTATAATAAGAAACGTATCTCTTTCACAATTATAGTTTCAGCACGATGGTTCAAATTATTTTTTTTAAATAAATGAAACCTTAAACTTTCAGTATAACTGATAGGTTTGTGGATAATGATGGAATCTAGAACGCACAGATTGTCCAATAAAGATTTTTCAAAATTCAATCAATATACTCAACAAAGTGGAAATTCAAATCCCTTCTAACAATATCATATATGTCATACTCATTGTACAAGTTAGTGACCCAGTAGATAACTTGTTGAGCATTGAACATAAAATGTACGGGAATCGAGTCTTGGTATGAATATCAACTCTGAGATGTACATACATTCCTTTGAAAAGTCACTAATAAAATGGAAGATAGATTCCATCGCTAGTTACAAGTTCATTAATGTTACCGAACCTGTGAAAATGGCTTTACTGTAACAATCTGCACAGGTTGCACATAAGCCAATTGTCAAAAATAGGTTTATTAAAATTCTTTTTAAAAATGATTTCGATATTAGAGTTAACAAACTCTAATTTGTTTTACTGTACATTTAGTCTATTCATAGGCCTTTTTAATGCATGAAAAATATTTTCTTTGGATTTTTACCTTGAACCATGATTTCTGTGTCAAATTTTCACATACAAAATGTTATTGTTGCTATTTTCTCTGCATTTTTTCTAGTCTCTGGAACAAATACGCTTTATTCTAAATAATATGTTCAACAAAATTTGTACAGAATCAGTAACTTATCAACTTGAATCATTATTCAACATATTTATTGCTCCTCAATGTAATCTGTCAACAGTTGAAAAAGAAAAGCATTGTTCAACTTGTATCAGGAGTATTATGCCAATTAGTTTACGGATAATAGCAACAATTAAAGCTTGTAATATATTAGAATGGATTCTTAAAAACTGTGATAATCAGATCCAGGTAATTTCTTAGATCCTTCTTGTTTTTTGTATATATGTATGTATTATGAACGTGTTTTTAAACGACTAACAGAATTTAGTACTGATCGAGAGGAAACGGCCATCCAATGTTAGTCTAACTTAACAATCTTCACAACCGCGTAATGCTATTATCCGTTCCGTAAAGTGAATGTACAAGTGCACATATCTGCACATGGAAATATGAAAACGAAAACACATTACATCATAATACTAGATGTGACAGGCTTATGCTGTGTGACAGATAATTTTAAATGTTTCTAAATTAATTTCTGAAAGCTGTTTATAGCCATTCCAGGTCGTATATTGAGCATTTTATAAAATAGTTATTTTTATACTACTTTTAAACCTATCAGTAGTTTATATTTTAAATCCCATTTTATTGGTTATAGAAACTGCAATGCGTCGTGCCATGTCATGTTTTGATGGACTATCGTACGCGTTCAACAGTACTTAAAAATAATTTAAAATCGGATCGATTACTTATTTTGCTTGATAAATTGATTGAATGCACGAATGAAAAACTCGACGAAACTGAGAAGTATGTTTCTCCTAACACCTTAACCCACGTTCATTTTAACTCAATCATGCAGGTCAGTATAAATGTTTCTGTCGTAATCATATCTTTCTTTACTCAGGTTTGAAATTAATTGCTAATGTGATAAAAATTACCTTTTTTACACTACGATTTTCTTCTTGATCTGTCTAAGAAACATATGTAAGGCTTGTTATTAAAAGGCCGTGTTCCTTTGACCATGTGGTCGATCTTCTCAGTCACCAAGATTACCACTAACCAGTTTTATTGTCAGACCTCTTTTCACTATGTGAACAGCCTAAAAGTGACAGTCGCCTTCATATCTCTAACAGCACTCGAAATCATCTTGATGAAATACTCTTCTACTTTTCACTATGTGCAGATATAGCACATATACAACTACCTCTATACAAACTGGAAATTAAAATTTTTTCTGTACTAAAAATAACTAGTTTAGGGAAAATTGTATGCTTATAGCATGGCAATCACGTATAATCTGGTCAATGTAAATCTTAATTTGCCAAGTAAATAGTTTCAAATTAGTGTAAAAAAAAATGCTTCTAATTTGTTAAATCTTGGAATTCGCCTGTGAATTTTTTGTTGGTTATAGAATCATGAAATCGAAGGCTATAAATTCAGTACATTTAAGGTTATTCTAAAATCAATTGTAAGTACAATCACACGTGTGCACTCTTTGTATGTTGTGTTTTTTTTAAAAAAATGAACATAATGTAATTATTCTCATTGTATTTATCAATCGTTTTCTAGGTTGTAACAATTTATTCCTTTGAATTATTATATTTTACTGAATAGTGTTTTCGTAAAAAGATCAATCTTTCTTAACCTAATCGGTTTTCAAATCTCTGATAGCTTGAGAATATTCCTGAATTATTTTAACACACACTTAATCGAAAATTGTTTCTAATTTTGAAATAATAAATAAATAAATTGACATTGATTTTCTTTTCTTATTTCCAACATTTTAAGCAACCTAACGAAACTACTTGGTTATTGAATTCAGTAAAAGATCTTTTGAAACAATATGATTTATCAGCTACACTAAATGGAATTCGTTTGATTCATACTCTGTCAGAGTGTACAACTATTGAAGAAAAAACTATAGCCAATATTCTCAATTCTGTGTGTCTTCGATGCTCTCCACGATTACTGTATTATGCTTTAATACTTGGTTCATCAGCATCATCGTCATCATCATTATCATCGAATTCTTTTTCGTTTATACCTGTTGATATTACAAATCAAATGAATAAACCTTGTTCTAACATATCTCATATCACACCTTGTGTAAATGTTTTATTTCGAGTTGCGTAAGTTTTCTTTTTTGAGTGATTCCTCCTCTATGGTTTCTCACTGTCATTCATTTTATTAAGATACATCCTGAGCAAATCACTGACTCATCTGATTACTGTCTCCATTCTTCAACACAATTCCCATGTAGGATCAAAGACTTACATTTAAGCATGGAGGAAATAATAATGTCCTCTCTTTGTTCGGACAAGAGCAGAGCTTACCAAAGAGACTACATAACAACCACACAGCAATAACGAAGAACTCTTAGAACTTTACAAAACTATTGCGCTTGACCTTGGTAGAACTTACAGGTCTATGTCTTAAGACTTATTTCCAATTTAACGATCAGATTTACATACAGTCCAAAACAACTTCATTAAGATCACGTATATTAGAACTAATCTTAGATGTTATGCAAAAGCTCGTGGGTATATTCTTACTAACAATCAAAACAAAGATTTAGAAACGGTACTTAGACGACATAATTTTTATACTCTATTGAGGCAAGCTGGAAAGTATCCATAGGTCATTAAATAACATCTTCAAAAGATATCCTATTCACTGTAGATGAAGAATCAGCAAAAAATCTCATTTGTGAATGTCTAAATCAATATAATCAACACGTGAATGTTCAAATACAAATATGCAAGAATTCAAGTCACAGTAATGAAATATTAAGTTACAACAGCAATCTACCAACAACGCACAGGAAGAGTTGCGTACATATGCTGTTTAGGGTATTTAAAATTTGTTAAAGCTCTCTAACTAGAGGAGAAACCGAGGAACCCCATCTTCTGCTTGTCCATCTGAAGATGTTTAGCACAAAGATATCCTCATTTGTAATTCAGTCTGATGCATCCATTTGCTTTGGTTTATCATGAATTAGTAACTAATGCCAGCCATATCGTGTAATCCTTGGTGCTGATAAAATTATCAAAGCCATCTGAATGAATTAAATTGATATTTTCTATTTAAACATTCAAAATTTAATGCGAATCTTTTCTATCTATAACTTTTATTCTCTCCATCAATTATTCATTTCAGTCAGAAAATTCTCTTTCAACACATACAGAATATTGTAACAAATCCCAGAGAATTGTTCACAGAATTAGAAAGTAATCTTTTTTTTGCAATGCACCTCATTCATAAAATATCATTGTTTTAATTGGTGTTGAATTTAATTAAATTTTTATTTGAGTCAGTAAATACTTGTTAATATTACACTGTAAGATAAATAATATTTACATACAATGAGGGCTAACTACTAACTACTGCTGCTACTATAATGATGATCTACTTATGATTGGTCTGTGTTTACTTGAACGTTATTATGAACAGATCTTATAGACTCATGTCGATATGTAGTTTGTGAATAAAGTGTGAGTATTATTGTAGTTGGACAGATTGTCCACCAACAGAACTGATTCTCAAATACCAATCCGACAATCCCTAAATATTCAAAGATAATAACGATAACGTTGACTAGACTACTTGTTTTCTATGAAACCCTAACATACCAAGGCTAACCAGTTGGAAAATAATAAAATAAAGGCAAAATTAAGTTTCGAATATGTAGTCATACTACAAAGTGTACTGGGACATGCAACGGCCTGTGTAGTATCACTTTCCTCAAATAACAACTAGAAAGTTTTGGTCCTTAAACCTTAACCACTGATTTCTCTTTTCTACAGTAAGTTTTTCAAAGTATCAAACTAGAACGATTTGCACTGCACACATTGGCCAAACTTAACAATTTTCATCCACAGATGGACAGGTTTTTTTTTCTTTTTAATATCTAGATGCATCTTTTAGCATTGTAACGATATCATTTAGTTTTACTTACAAAGGACATGAATCATTAATTTCAACTCGAAAATTCAATTGTTTAAACACTTGACTTTTAACTATTATTTTTATCAGTTCAAATAAGTTTAAGGACAAAAAAAAATATTCGAATGAATAATAGTTTTTGATAATTTCTTCTTCAGGCTCTCTGTAGTTATAATTCTCTAATTATTATAATGATTTAGATAAAGTGTTTAAATATGTATATCAACGTTCTGATTGAACTGATGGGTGGGTGTATCATAAGTCGAAAATAATAGAATCTACGTTGATTGATTCTAAAATAACAGAAGAATAGTAAATTAAATGGATCATTGAGAAACTAAAATGTCATACAGGAAGAATTAAGGAAACTACATACTTCAAGGTAATGAGTTGCAATCAACAGATTAAAATCGTACATAAAGAAAACTAATACTAATAGGGATCTGATGTGTTATGGCTATTAGTGTGGGATCTAGCATATGTGAGTTTCCGCCTCCTTGAGACTCATCAGCTCAATATACTTGCATCTCAGTGTTGATGTTCATATTAGGACTCATATATAGGGTCTTTTGTTTCAAATTATCAATGCATTGTACACTGAACTACTTAGATAAAAATATATCCAGCTGACAAGCCGCAGATAGCATGAAATGCACTTTCTGGATTTCAATATTAGTGACCATTCATCTATTCTTAATAATTTGTGTCATAATGGCAACATTAAGTTGATTTGCACAAAATACAAGTATGCCTATAATTGTTGATCAAAGTTCAGTCAAAAATATCGACAACGGGATAATCGAAACCCTTCAGAATGATGTATTATGAGATTTGTGATGATAATAATAATAGTCATTAAAGCTACTATTATAAGTATCATGTAAGATAGGAAAAAATATAAATAATATCATGGACGGGAATACAAATCAGAATGATAAGAAAGAGGAGTAAAGTCTATGTATACTATGAAAAGTATAATCAGACCAAGAAAAAATTAGTGTTTGTTGAGGTGAAAAAAAATGGGTCGAATGTGTGTGATCTCCTGTTGATATATTTTTTAATGTCAGTGTGCAATAAATAGTTATATTTTCCTGATCATAACATTAAGAATTCATTTTCTTTTTAACACAATTGTCTCTAGATCCGAATTTAGCTGATTCTGTACAAACATATATGACCGGTCTGTCATTTGCCTTGTTAGAATTTCTTCGAGTTTTACCTCATATACCACTTGGGGATTTGGTGCCAATTGAAAAAGAAACAGATGCATTAAGTTTTCTACTTATTCTTATTGAGGTATGTATAGAATTGAACTTTGTTTGTCAACTGTAACATAACCATGTTTATTCTATGTCTAATATTCTTGTAAATATTTCATTCATCATTGTAAAACTTTATTTTTACACCATAAATTGACACATTTGTTAGTGAATTATTCCAAACAATGAAGCTTTGAACGAATATTTTGTTATAGTTTTGATATTTTTTATCACAGACAGACAGTTACAACGTAGAACTACGTACGTACGTGCATCAATTCAAGCTGTCACACCACGTTAGCACAGATACGCAATCGTCAATTCAAATCCCATAGTAGTAAAGGTAGTAGAAGTATTATCAGTAATGAAGAAGATTAATGATCGAATTTACCATTCTAGATGTATGCCCCCGAGGAATCAGTTAAAAAAATAAGAGAAACGGTCATGAGGAATTCAGAAGATTAAGATTTATGCAAACACAAAGAATGGATGCACCTCTACCATTGCAAACGATTCTGAGCCTTACACAGAGGCCATGCTAATCTTTTCTGTATCGTTCCAATTTTAGTACAATCAATTCAACACAATGAATAAAGTTGTCCCCAGTATCCTTCCTATATTTGCTTAAAATTTTTTGACGAATTTTTTCATATATGATTTGATATTTTCCTTTCAACATTCTACTCCACGCCAAACTCAATTAACTTATTTTCTTGCTCTTTCTCTAATCTAGTTTTTCTTTCACTCAATGGGTTACCCTTATGCTCAAATAACTAGTGTTTGTTCAGGCAATAACAGTTCTAGTACTGATCAATTAAAAGCTATAAACAACGATGATCATGATAAATCTTCACAACATTATATCATATCTGTAACAATGATACAAACAACTCTTCGATTATTAAATTATATTTTACAAACAGCGTTAAATCGTTCTGCCAAAGGAGTTGATTTATTTGGTGGTGATGGTAAAAAGATTTTATCCATCTTTCTTATTTTCATATGGATGATTGATAAATCAGGTAAATGGTGTTTAGTGTTGTTTGTTTCAATCAGCGCAATGTCGATCCAGACACCGGAGTGTTTTTGATCGAAACCCCATTCATTGTGTCACGTTCATTCAAAAAAGTGAAAACTAAATGAATGATGATTGCAAGATATTATAACTACTACGATTAATTAAACTTATGTTTTTGAAATTGTATGTATCAGTAATAACTTGCATCACAAGTCATACATCCTTAGGTGCAAACCTTAGGGATCTAGTTAGTCCTAGCTAATAATAACATCATCAATATAAGTAGCTTTCCAGGCATTTGAAATATTGATGCTGACCTCTTCAGTTTTAACGGACACTACTAGTTTGAAGCGTTCGCTTTAGTATCCACACCATGTCCTTACACATGTCACGTAAGACGACGATTCCCTATTAGATAATCAGGTTAATAGTCTCACGTCCATATACATCTGCCTACTATTAAATATATTATTCCTTCAAATTTTATGCACAAAGATTGAACCAAATACCTGGCCATTTTTTACTTCATTCTTTATTTTCAAAAATAATACTATTTGTTAACTCGAATTCTAGTTGTAAGTCATATAATGATGATATAAATTCACAACACACGACAATTTATGATGTATCGTAAAAAATACATATTTTCGGTCAATGCCTATCAACGATTGACCTTTCATACATAACATTTCACACAATGAACCTCCAATAAAAAACACATTTTAATGGTTGAGTCATATCACTCGTTGACAATCACTTGATAAATTCAACATTTAAAATTTAATCAATACGAATAATATTTGAACTACTTGTTATTGATTTTTCGTTTCGTTTCGTACACTTAAATAGATTTAATTTGTATTAGGATAGAGGGCTAATAGATTTACTATTTCGATCGAAACAGTAAAAATCAGTTTTAGTTTAGTTTTAGCATAGTGTATTCTCAACAGACTAATTGTTATGATCTCGTCTGATTACATTTTTTGATCAATTTCGTTCAAACTATCTGTCATACTGATAAGTCCAAGTAGAAATCAACCCTAATCGAGTATAAAGTATGACAATGATATTAACCGAAAATTAAATTTATCAATCTTCATATTCTAACGAAATTAGTTCAGAACTAATGTACTCAATCTAAAAACACATTTGTTTGTGATAAATTCATCTGTATAGTTAACGTGAATAAGAAACTAATAAGAAATATCTTGAATAGATAAGATATGGCTAGTAGTGGAATTCAAGACAGGTGTTTTGTCCCATTTGAGACTCGTCAACTGGTTGTGCCTGCATCCTGGGACTATAACTCAGTACCGTTCACTTCAAATGCCATTACGTTATCCACTTAGCTACTGTGTCTAAACAACCACCCACAAATTTGAGATTTAATTAAATTGGGATTGGTTAGACAGTTGCGTTGCCGATATTTCAACTGAAATTTGATCTGGATGAAACACGCATCCTGGTTTCCGCTGCCAGCTACATTCAATTCATCAGAAATATACATTTTGCGACATTTCAATGCTCTCATTTGATTATTTTTGTATCGATTCATCGATGTATATTGCCAGTTATTCCACTACAGTATATCTATTTACACATTTGTCGTGCATTAGTGCTAATAAGATTATATAACTGGAATTTTAGCCAAAATGCTTATAATAAGTGTGCAGTTGCTAATTGACTAAATTTCATTCATCATTTAACAGCCATCTGTCATCTGATCTGTTTTGCTCGGTGCTTATGATAGAAATAGAACCATAAAGTTCAACAAGTGCACCATGATTTCAGATTGTTATATGTTACGTAATGACATACATGAAATTGTGTTCAGAGCAACCAACTATTACTTGGCTTTGCCACAATCATGTTTATCTAAAAATTCAGTTGCTCTTGTGAAAAAGCTGTATTAAGCGTACTACCAGACAACTGAACCAACGATTTAGTGAACACCTCTCCGCACGATTAGGAAAAAGTATGATCGAAACAATACACAGCTCCGTTGTACCACATTTGTGGTAAATAGAAATGACATTTTCAATGTATACATTTAAACATTACTGTATATTTAGAGTAAAGTCTGATGAAGATTTAATTAGAAACAATCTTATTCGCTCATAAGTGTTGTAATAACTTACATGGAAATTTTTAAGATTCCAAATTCCTTGATACTGGTAAACAGGTACTTGTTGGTAAATCTAAGTGTATTACTAAATAACAAGCCATAATACACAGTTTCTACACCTGTCTCATGTCTCATTAATTAGTATCAGCAGTCAACAAGATCACTAAGTCCGACTGATGTTCCTACACTATAAAACTGAGCATATAAGTTACGATGTACACATATACCCTACGTACCAACATTATTGTTTAAAAGAAATACATCTTAGTTTTAATTATATTAGGACTTCACAAGTTTTTAAATATTTTTGAATCGTATTATCCAACGTTTAATGTTTACCAATATCATTAATACTAATATTATTTCGAACTATTTGCTATTCATTTTGTTAATTGTATCTCAATGTATTGATGTGGTATGGCAAATTATGTTAACCCTGGACTCCATATTCATCACAATTGATTTCACAGCTAAACTTTTTGTCTTAATGTTAAAATAATTTCAAAGTCATGAAATGGTTAACACAGTGAAGTAATCGTTTTTGACAAGTTCATTTTCGAAGCCCGTAAAAAAAGTATAACTGTACCAGATGAATTTTGTTTGTTAAAATACAAGGAGTCATGTTCTGAAATGATAGCATTGATCAATTTCAGCTTAAGACTGATCCTTTGATACTATTTATAATAAGATCTAGTCAAAGATTTTGAATTTTGTGTTCCTCATCCAAAATGTCATATTTGTGTGCAGTTGTCTAAATTGCTTTAATGACTGCCTATTTTTACACATGTATATTTAGCATGTCTTTCTGAGTATACAACAATTTGGTCCAAATCAACTAATCAACATATGATTGATGCTGTTCAACGAATACTTGATGAATATTCACAACAATCAATAACGCAATCATCATCATCATCATCGTCATTATTACCTTCAGAATTATCTACAACAATTTTATTGAATAATTTACTCACTCCATTATATCCACCTATTATGGGTTTATGGTGGCCTGATCCAATTTGTGCATCAACTTTGTCTAATTTTTGTGCTACAACTGTATCTTATGCATCATTGTCTGCATTGAATTCCACTTCTTTAAATTCATCAACAAATCAAAAAAGATTAGGAAATATAGAAGGTGGATTTATTCAACCATGTCATATAATTAATAAATGTAGATTGTTACGTTCAACTTTTATTCAATCGACAGGATTAGATATAGTGAATCAATTAAATATTTGTACTTCAGGTAAAACATTGTTGTTATATTACATCATCAGAGTTGTGTATTAATTTTTTAAAAAGCTTTTTATATTACTGTTGAACATTGAAATGAAATAATCAATTCAAAAATTCAAAAATTGCACGCATACATTTAGGTTTCACGATTAACAAACTTATAATTTTAACTGTCAATATGCTTTTCATAAAACTATTTGGAACTTACCTACTTTCAATTAAAAATGAGATGTATTTTTTTTGTTTTACTTGATAAGGTTTGCTTTGTTTAAATATAACCTATACAGTATAGAAATAATCAATGGGATTACTAAAAATAGTTTGAAATTATCGACTAGAATTCAATGAAATCAATCAATATTACTTAGTTTTCGTTTTAATTCTGAAAAAAAATATTTTTAAATAGTATCTGGGTCCTTTCAAAACAAAAATGAAATGTCATTTGATTAATAATGATTTTATTTTCAACTAATGATCAAAATTTGATAAAAATGCAAAACTGAAAATTTAGATAATTTTTCAATTTATATATATATGTAATACGATGAATTTTACTTTGCTTCTTAACTAACTACATCATCATATTATGTTTTTTCCTTTTTCCTTATAGGCATTTCTCGTCTTCTACATACATTAAATGTATCTAGTTCATATAGTTATCGTTCAATTAATATGTCATTATTGCATGAATCAAATGATGTGAAAACATCAGTTTATAGTGATTCATTTGTAAATCTAGATTTAGATCATTTAACATTGAATATTACACGTCTTAATGCTATGGGTTGGTTAGATCGTAGAGAATTTGAAAGAATTTGGACAAATTATTTAGAATTATTATCATCTGCATCAGATACTCAACAAAATATTTATTCAGTTACGTTAGAATCTTATGATAATGCTCAATTAACTAGTTCAGAAGTGAGTTCTATTCATGAATCAACAGTTAGTTCTATTCTATTCTGACTTTAATCATAACAAGACAAGTGTTTGTAATGTATTTATGTAATTTGTTAAGATAATCCTTAGAGAACCCAGTGTATATTGAAAACGTCTACTTCTTTATATGTCACTTATTTAATTGACTTTCTTAAAAAGAAGTGGTGAAACTTCATCAGTTGAGGTGGTTGGGACACGTGTTGCGTATGCCTAACCACCGACTGCCTCGTCGAGCTTTGTTTTGTGGTGTAGGAATAGGTTGGAAGAAAGCTAGGGGCGGCCAAACCAAAACATGGCAGAAATCCATGAAGTCATTGACGAGTGGACTTAGCCATGTTGGTAATTGTCGACTACCTGGTTGGGGTCCGCGAGATGATAATAATCGATGGCTAGAGACCTTGAATGACATGGCTCAAAATCGTTCGCAATGGCGCCGGTGCATTTATTCTTTGTGTTCTCTCAAATGCTAATCTTCTGGATTCTTCAACACCTCTAGTTTTGACTTTCTAAACTTTTCTCACTGAATCATACTTCTTGAATAATATCTTCTCATCCTAACCTCTTCGATTACTTCTAATACCTTTACTACCTCTTCTACTATTGGATTTGAATTGACGATTATATCTCTGTGCTGATGTGGTATGGCGACATGAACTGATGTACTTACGTACGAAGTTCTACGTTGCAACTGACTGACTGACTGAATTGACTTTCTTACAATACCAAATGAGTTTATGAAAATAATTAGACTCCACTCTGAATCGTCAAGACTATTATGACTTCTCCTTTAAAGTTTATGAATCTGAGTAAACTCACATCTTAGTTAAATAATTTCCTCCGGGTGATAACTCAGGAATCTCATCTCAATATCATTAGATCTTCATATTACATTTTGTTAATAATAATACTTCTGTCGATTTGATGAACTAGTGAATATTCACTAAGATGATTGATTATAGGTGGATGATTTGCTCATAAAACCTATTCCAACTGATTATGTTTTGATTATTAAAACTATTACTCAACTATCTTTTGTATGTAAAAGGAATATATTGTGAGATTATGTTGGGGACATTAGATTCCCAGCACTCATTTCGAATTTTGGATTTTTTATGCTTTCGCGCATAAGTTGCTTAGTTGACCTTTAGCTTAACTTTTCCGACTCGGAAAATCTTTAACTGTCATTGGTTGGTGGATTATTTTAGTACGCTACTTTGTGGCTCTCCCAAGGACGTTTCTATCATGTGCAAATAGGATCTATTTGTGTTCTTATCAACCTCACATTCTGATTGCTTGTAGAATGCACTTTCTACGTCTTATCAAGTCTTCTTGATATAGTTAGCCGGGTTGGGAGACAAACGTATTAGGCTAACCTGTCGTGTCACTGAGTCATTGCTTTTGTTCCATCACCGAGTAAGGTGAACTCATAATAGTTTCAAGTATATCAATTGACGAGCATATCAGATTAAAACTACTATTTTAATGAATGAAGTAACCACCAGGCTATACCTCTGATTTCGTAAGTGAATAATTGAGGACGGATAGAAAAGTCACAAAACAACCAGTGGTTTTTTTCGAATTTCTGGCTCTAACTCATCGTTACATTTAATAAATATTTTATCATAAATTTAAAATATTTCTTTGAGATCAGTTGTCAACAAACTCGTTTTAAATCTCTAGGAATTAATTGAATGTAACCAGTCTATTGTCATTGGTCTACGTGGTTTAACACGATTACTTATGGATACATCATTGAAACCCCAGCCTGGTGATACACTCTACTCTCGATTACATCATCACTCTCGCCTTGAAATACCACATTTCTCGCATACAAAGTAAGCAAACTGATCATTTTATTTATTTAAAGAAAGAGTATGTGAAAAGTATTACAAAGATTTATCACTTTAATTTTGTTTTGGGTATTTTGGCTAAAATTTTATCACTTCTCGTTGACACATGTACATCGTGAGCGAATTGTCTCAACATGGCCATTACGATACAACTGTTTATAGAGTAGATAAAAAAGTGGCCAACAGTGAAATCTTGAACACACATTTCATATTATTTAAGACTTATCAGCTGGATGTATGTGCATCACAGAGTTGGCGTTCAGTAGCTAAATCCATAATGTTTGAATCGAAAGGTACAATCAAATAAACAGTAGTATATCATTGTACTGCACTAAATAAATAGTCTCTTTTAAAAACCATCTAAAATCACTAATAAACAAATTCTGCCCAGTTTTGTAATTACTTTTTGAATTCATTAATTTGAAATGTTTCAAAACGATTAGTAACGTTTCATGGACCCAATTTTTATACTTCTTAGAGACTTTAGATCCCCAGAACTGGAAAAGATCCTAATTCGTAATTTTATTATGGAATTTTAATTTTATGTTCTCGCTCCAAGGACGCTTAGTTGACCTTCAGTTAGCATTTCCCACTTGGTAAAACCTTAACTGTCATTGTGTGATAGATTATTATAGTACACTATTTTGTGGCTCTCACCAAGGGCGTTTTATCATTGCATAAATAAGCTTTAGTTGTGTGCTTATGGATCTCATATTTTTTGGGAGCCTGTGGAATACATTTCTCTATGTCTTATCAAGATTTCTTGCTGTGGTTAGTGGGACCTAAGACGATCGGATTAGCGTAGCCTATCGTGTCGCTGAATCATTGATCTTCGTTCCGTTTACCGAGTAAGATGAACTCGTAATAGCTGCAAGCATATTGATACTATCCAATGCTCATGATTAACACATAGTATGTTTAAAAACGTAGTGAAATTCTTTTATCCTTTAGATTTTTAGTTTTTACTATTCAGCGATGCATTTTAGTAACATTACATCTATGCTTTTTAGCAAAAATAAATTGGTAAATGACAACTACATATGAACAGTTATTCATCGTCCGTTGACGACTTATTTGTAGTTTTGATTTCATTTAAACAACTGATGTTAATTCACATATTTATTTTTCTTGATTTCTGTTCATTAACTTCTGCATTAAAAAACGAAGACTTGGTCGGAAATTGATTTCACTACTAACTTTAATTAAACGCGAACAGGATTATATGAACAATTCCAGTGAATACCCTCTCGCCTATACAACATATTCTGCATACATGAATCAAATAAATGAAACTGAAGATTTAGAATTAATGAATTTAGAGCGTCTAACTGATTGGTTCTCAGATGGTCCTAGTCAATTCGCTGTAGATCGATTAATTCGACGTTTAGAGATGCGAGAAAATCCTAACTCAACCACATGGTCATCTGTTGATGTGGAACATACCAGTGAAAGTGAACAGCTACAATCAACAACAAAACCAACGACTTCTCAACCTATTCTCACTTTACCAAGTGAGTTTTATTCTCATTTTCTAATGATTTATATCTCTTTGTTTAATTACTTATAGATGAAATCCTACTGACAATAATATATAAAAACAGAATAAGGAAGTGCTTGATAAGTAGTTGAACAACCAAAAAGATAAAACATTGTCATTGGTGACAAATGGATGAGGTCGCCCAAAATCCCTAGATCAATCAGAGTTAGACATTAACACCGTTGGATGCCGGCCCAGTGGTCCGATGGTAAGGCGTTCGCCTTCGATGCCAAAGGTCCCGTGTTCGAATCCTGCAAGGAGCAGGAGTCGTGGATGCGCACTGCTGATGAGTCCCATACCAGGACGAAACGGCTATCCAGTGCTTCCAGGTTTCTAATGGTGGTCTAGCAATGATTGATTGATGATTTCAAATGTGTAAAAAACGCAAACCTCCAAAACTGCGCCCTAAGAGTTTTAGTCTACTTGTAGCTACTAGAATGCTAGTAAGAATTATTGAAGTAATCAACCTATCAGAAACCATCATGTATTTTATTTGTACTATCGTAATCTAGTATCAAGATTTGAAAGTGTACAAATTTGAACATGAAGCCCTCGTATAATTTTTTTTTAAAAAATTTTATTCCTAACGTAAGCAATGCAATCTGTAGCACCTGACATACATTTTGTACTATTATCATTATTGAGCTTATATGCGCGTGCACGCTTGTGCACGCTTGGGCATGCTAGTCGCTTGACTAGCTTTATCGATTAACTGTTCAAATAATTCGATGGCAATATCGATTATATATTTTTGAATCAACCCAATGTTTGTATCAATCATTAAAATATTTTGAATAATAAAGAAATTGTGGCAATGATTCGTGTTCTATAGTAACGGTCAACAAGACGGAGATATACAAAATTTCGAAGAGATAAAGAATGTTCGACGCCATAAATCAACTAACCAATTCTGTGTGTGTGTGTGTGCGTGTCTTTCTCTAGCTCTATTTCGATTTGGAAAATTGACTAACTAAGTAACAACTATAACATTCCCTACAATCTTCTGTTCATAATTATTCTTCTGACAGTTACAGTTATTTTGTTTTTCATCAATTAGTTTCCAATTACTGGAACACTGTTACTTTGTTCCTACAACAAAACAATTTGATTAAAAATAAACAAATAGCCGTATTTATCTGAACTACAACGCATCATTTACAAGTGACCTTGAGAGATGCATTTCGCTTCTTTTTTCAATGAAGAAAAAACACCAAACCATAGACTTCACTTGTAAATCTAGCTTTCTTATTTGTTATCATTGAAAAAAAAACAAATTAACTTGTCTTTGTTTACTTGCACACACAGAAAGAATAGATACAAACATTTGTATGACTAATTTGTTTTCTTTTTAGTGCTTTTTTTAAAGAATGATATTTTGTGGGAATATTTTTTTTTTTCATTCTTGTAATTGTGTCAGTATGTAGGTGTGTGTGTGTGTGCGCTCATATCCGACATTTGTTTGTCAAAGTGGAACAAAAAACAAACAGCCATTTATATTGAAAGAGTAGTATTTTTGCACTGTAATGTCATGAATACCTAGCTAGTTCATTGAATTGATTAACTTTCCAAGGAGGCATTTTCTTTATCATTTCATACCAGTTAATCCCTTGTCAATAGATTAGATTGTGTAACATCACGTTTATTTCGACATACATATAAACTGTATGCTGAGTAAATAAGCTATTTATTTGTGTGAATTCATTTAGTCAACTATTTTTAGTCTTAACTGTAAAATCAAAGTAAGCAGAATATTGTCTTTCTGTATTGTTTTTTATCTTCAGACAGCGATTACTCCACAATTTAAATCGTTTTTTAATTGGTTATTTGATCAGAATATCTTTTTATGGTTTATTCTCTAAGGTGTAACAATTAAACTGGGGACATTTCTCACTTTATGATTAATGAGAGCGAAGTGTTAAATAAAATTCATCTGACGATTATTAATTGCTTAATACATCAAAAATATCATTTATGAGTCAAATTAAATCATGACATTAACGACTTTCTTAGTAGTTGGTTGGATGAATCTGAAATAGCTTGTCTTCCGAATTATTATTATTATTATTATTATTATTATCATTATTAATTATAAATTTGTAGTAAAATGACTGAATAACTAGATTACCGAATTCGTAATCTTTTGGTTAACTCACTAAGTACTATCATGAGATTTACTATTCCCGATTGAAAGCCAATCTATTACTAACAGTTTCCCTTATCCACTTTTGGCTCGTTCATGTACCATTTTTATTTCATGATGTGGTGCAGTCTGGTATATAAACTATGCCTATTGATTTATAAAAGTAGTGAAGGCTAGTTGCTACTCCTGGACTCGAAGGCAGATCACACAGATGAGCTTGCGCACAAAAGCTCAAACATATGATGAATGAGTTACGGGTACGCGTGCTGTTACGGGTATGAGGGCGGTTGTCACTTCCCGGCTGCCCACACCGTGGAAGGTTGTTCCTTGAGGGACCTGAAAAGGAAGATAGATTAGTGTTGGTGCGTGACCGCAGAGCCCAAGGGACAACTGCTTGAGGCCGGTCACGCACGGCCTTTTTATGAAAGGTATTTAGAGGATTAGCTCCGTTCTTAAAGGCCCTTAATGGGCACCCTTACCCAAGGAGACGGAAATCCGTGAGTTAGGGGAGGTGTGACATTTTTAGGGCCGACCTTTTCTAACCCTTCCTTCCTTGTGAGAAGGCAGCATCGCTGCAGATGCTGCTTGTTTGAGGGAAACACCTTACTGTTGTCACACTTCTCTGCAGTCAGCAGTACGACTTCGCCCTCAAATCTTGGGTAGCTGCTTTTAGTCTCATCGTTCTCCAATCGACCTGCCTGGCATGGTAGGACCTGCAGGAACATATGTTCCATCCAGTATAGCTCGGTTGGGTCATCACGATAGGCAAGCCCGACCACCACGTCAAGGTAGCAGCTACGGTCGGGATGATGAATGAGTTATTTATGTTTGTATAAACGAGTTGTTTTGCGAAATTGGTACTTCATTTGTTTAACCAGTTTATGTACAACATATTTAGACGAAAACACAGTTACTAATCTTTGAATTGAAACTCGATTTCATCACGCTCACCTTTCGAAGTCTTTGATATTGACTTATGGTTTTTCCAGATTAACGGTCTATTTAGGAAGATGTTTCACTAGCAAATATGTTTATTCATATTTACCAATTTTGATTAATAATTATTTGCCTATTTCTTTTTAGCTACAAAATCAAATCATTCACGTTCAGCCAATATTGTCACATTACAAAATTATGAAGATCCTTTATTTTCATGTCTTCAATCATTACAATTATTTTATCATTCATGTCTTAAACCAGAACCATGCCCTTCTATACGATCAGATAATGAAGATATGAATACATTATTGCTGGGCACATCAAAACTTGTTGAATTATTAACACCGAATTCACCAATTGCCTCTTCTACTTTATTCAATAAAAATTCTTTTAATAAACAAATAAAACAACAAAAATCAACAACAATAAAAGGACCAGCTTTTGATGTTTGGCAATCAATTCTACAATCAGCTATTATTTTATCAGATTTATTTACAACACAAGAACAATTTATTTGGTTAAATGATCATTTACAAGATGGTAAGTAGGTAATCATTTTGTTTGGCTATTATTATGGCTTTCATTTTCTTCATATATATGAATCCTGATAATTATATTCTATATATTCAACTGATAATATTATCTGGTAGAATGTATTGGTCTACCACATAAAAATGAATCTTGCCATACATGTTACATTTTGAATTATGATATTGGAAAATAACCAATCGGATAAATGTAAACTATTAACGATAGTAATGATAATGTAATTCTATGGAACACGATTACTATTTTTAACCATATCTATAATATGAGACTCAACTAATTATCACTGACTAACTACATCATCAAATGGAAATGGGTTAGGGTTAGTCTTTCTTCAGCTCATTTTCACTTTACACTTAATTGATCTATCGTTACTAAATTTTAAGCCTAAGTTTTGCTCAAACTGATAGTTCATTTAGTATAAATCAGTATCACCTTGTCTAGTTCTCAGCCCCGATCAAGTTATCTTGATTGCTTGCCTTTAACCATTGAATTTCAAATAATCTGCATTGGGATTTCGAAATTCATTAGGCCTATTATTAGTGATTGAATCGCTGAATTTCGATCAGTACTAAGTACTTTGAAACATGACACAGATGATTATTCAGTGATTTATCAGTATAAACACCTCATTCTTATGAGCCTCTAGAAATTCTTATGGTACAACTCTTCCCACCATATATATATATATATATATATATATATATATATATATATATATATAATTGCTCATATCTGATCATCACTTCAAAAGATTGTTACAAAATTACTGATAGTGCACTGAGCGTTCTAGTGACAGATTTATATGCGAAATGCCATTTTGATTACTAATGGAAATGTAATTTCATATTACCCACTACTAGGAAGTCTCACTGACTTCCTTATCGCGGCAGTGTTAACGAAATGAAGAGGACAAAAAGCAAACTAGGTGTGTGTTTGGAAGGTCCACCTAAAGGTGTTGAAAAACCATGAATTTAAACCAGCGGTGCACATGGGGTCCTGAATTTTGAGATAGAAAATAGTGAACGAACCTGTTGTTGGCTACTGACTATCATGTGTTGCATCTCTTAACATCACTCCACTATCTTGTGGATTAGACCTTTGTCGAAAGTTTCAAAGAGTGGTCCCTCAAGATAAGTACCTGCTTCGGCTTAGGCCATATCTAAGTCTATACAAAAATTCACTGATTTAAGTGGCGGATATATATTCACAAACTATTATGTAATTCCTTTTTTTTCCAACAATTATTATTTAGCTTTCTCAAAATAATTTTATTGTAGCTGATATTCTGTTGACAAATGTAAATATGTAGTAGTTATTTTATGCAATTTAAAATGAAATTACACATTTCGTAAGTGAAACTTAGTACCTAATATTTACCTATTCCACTTAGTTGTCCTAAAACTGGACACTCTTTAATGTAATAATACCTTGAGTCTTCAGTAGAGTTCAACTTTCTGGAATGAGACAAATATTATCAATAACATTGTATGATGATGGTTGGCGAAATATCACGAACAGACAGTTAAAAATGTAAGCCATTCAAAGCCTATTCAATAGTCTAAAGGTTAACTGATTGCCATAAGGCTTTATTACCTTGTTAATGTTTCAATGAGCTGCGTTATGTTCGTCGTCGGGCTCACTACTTTTGTGATGGAGGCAGCAACTTTAAATTCTACGTCAAGGTTCGCCAATTTTTAATGGTCGCGTTAGATTCGACGCCAGGCTTACTACATTAGTGGCTGCTCTGAATACTAAATAGGACTCTCCATTTTAATGGCCCGTGATGACTCGAGTATTTACGAATTGTCGAGTATTAGGGGAAGTAAATCTTCTATTCAGTTTCCGTATACCATACTTATGTGAACCCTTTTTGTGCGACGACGTTTATAAGAAATCAAATACAGATTCGGTTGAATGATTTTATTTCAGCCAATCGTTCAAGCATTCATATAAGCAGACAAACGAGAATACCAAGCGTTAAAGCAAAACGAAACAATGTGGAGAAGACGGGCCAGCCAACTCAATGTAATGAGATATAACTAAGCATTTATAGTCAGACAAAAATAAGCCAGACATGCGATAAGCGAAGTAAGTAGTGACACATGTGAATAATAACTCCGGTAAAATGAATTAGTTAGATTGTCTAAAGGCGTGGGAGTCCTGTGGCCTCGTCATAAAAGTATCCTCACTATAATGTTTATTTATTCATTTGAATCACTGAATGTACATTATTTTTCTTTCATATTTTCACCTTTTCTTTCTTTAAAAAATAGCATTAAAACAATTACCAACATGGAATGAATTTCAATCACCAATACATTTATGGTTAGCATTAGGCATTTCAAAATGTACTGCAGTATTAGAATTAATAAATAGTTCACCAAAAAATTCCTGTGTACTTCAATCAAATTCACTTGAACCAGCTGTTAAACAAACAATGAATGCTATTAATTCTAGTTTATTGACAATACAAAATGCTGGTTTACATAGTGCAATGTATTTATTACATGCAGCATTATTAATTCGACGACAACCATATCAACAACAATTACAACAACATAGTCCACCAACTGGTTCATCATTGTTAAATGTACTTTATACATATGTAAGTATTAATGATGATTTTTATATTGAATTCACATAACCTAAAAATTATACAAGAAATCAAGGATACTTGTCACATAACTACTTTAAATCTGTTAGCTATGTACACATTTGCTACTTTGTATGGTACTGAGCTCATAACCGTCAAACAATCATATGTTATCATTAAGTTTCAAAATTAAAAACGATTAGTATAAAGTTTGAAAATTCTCTCAGTTCATAATATATACCATTCAATATTGTGAATGTATTCTCTTATTCCTTGAGAGTTTAATTTTAAAAATGATGCCTGCTTAATTATGGTTTTCAATGTATATGAAGTTCATGTATATAAAGTTCAGAATTATTTTCATGTGGTCAAGCGTAAAATATGAATCTTTGTTCCAAGAATTTGTATTCGTCTAAAAGTAAACAGATGATACGAGACATCGTGGAAACAGAGTTTTTATTACGGACTAATATCAGTTAAACTACTTAAAACCAGATGGTAAAAAAATGGCCAAATAATCCCAATTTAAGATTCTTCAACATACCGCACGAGTACGAAAGTTAGACCTTTAAGTTTAACAGCAAGAATACATTTCCATAAAGCAAACTAAAATTTCGCTGCCTGTAAAAGTTAAATATGCGTTTTAGTCTGTTAAAGACTTACTTAATTCATATGCGTGTACACTAAAAAATTATTATTTTCCAAGTTTTAACTGACAGATAATACCGATTTCTATGAATTGAAGTAACATATTTTCTTCATTACATTAGTCCTTTCATTTCTGCATACTTCACTTTCTATCGATTTTCTACGCTTTAGTTATGCAATTATCTGGAAAAAAAGATTAACACTATATTCTGCAATTCAATGACAACTAATTTACTAGGTACAGAAACATTAGGTAATCAAGATTTATCCGTTTCGTCTACTGGATCATCCGGTATGAAACGATTCATGCAAGCTGTACTTCATCCAGGTGCTGCTAGCAAAGTCACTAGTACTCCTAGTGTGGAAAAAGAATGTGAGTTTATCGTATTATTTTGTGAATTTTATGAATTACTGCTATGTAATTACATCATAGTATTGAAAAAACAACAAAAGCATATATTTTTATCTGGGAAAAACGTATCTTTCATTAGAGAGTTATGTAGATTGTTGTTTATAACTGAAATCATGAGTCGGTCATCATTAGACTATCAGTAGAAACTTGGAAGCGCTGGACGTCTGTTTCCTCCTGGAGTCGTGGATGGGCACCGCTGATGAGTCTTATGCCAGAACGAAACGGCCGTCCAGTGCTTCTGGGTTTCTAAAGGTGGTCTAACGATGATTTATCCATGATTTAAGTAAAAGACATATTTTTTGTTCATTTACTATTGAACTGAAATCATTCTCCGCTAAATAGTGTTACTGATAGGTCAATTACACCAAATAGTCAATTACATCAGAATATTATAAAAATATAATATTTTGGTTGACAATAACAGTCCCTAGTTCACCAAATTCTACTTAAAAAATTTAAAATCCATGTACATTATTATTATACAGTAGATATATTAGAATGAAAAGTATTTTGGTTGATTTAAAGTACCTGCTTCACACACACACAATGAGTAGATTATTCCTGTTTTTCTGCTTCCACTTTAAAGTGACACTTATAAGTAGTAGTATGCACATTTTGTTGTTAAGCGTTGTTTTGCCACTATAAGGTTTTAAAGATTGTTGAGTTTCATTGAAATCATGAATTAATCAATGTTAGATTACTATTAGAAACCAGGAAGCACTGGATAACCGTTTCGTCCTAGTATGTGACTCATCATCGGTGCGCATCTAGAACTCCACACGCGGGACTCGAACCCAAGACTTTCAGTCTCTTGTGCGAACACTGAACCTTTAGACCGCTGAGCCGGCATCTAACGGTGTTACTGTCTAACTTCAATTAATCCACGATATTACGTGACCTTATCCACCTGAAACGTTTGAACTCCACTGGTCACATCCTCTCACTAGAACTGAGAATTTCCTCACTAGTGAGCACATGTTTGAGTCCCTTACTAAGACGAATTGGCCGTTCAGTGCTTCGAAGTTACTAATTTTGTCAGCTTAATTGTTTTTTCAAGATAACTTTCTTTGCAGTTTCTAAATTTTCCTTATTTAATGACCTGTTCTTAACCAGCAATAATAATAAAAATAATCGATTACATTGCATTTTCAGCTTCTATGGTCAATTTATCAAATATTGACTTAACGGATCACATAGAACAACATCAATTAACTGTATTATCAACAGCATTTTTCCTAACTGAACACTTTTCTGATCCACCAATCTATCCTATTGTAACAGATTCAGGTATGGGTATTAGAGAAATGCTATCCGGTTTAACAGCTATATTATTTCGATTAGCATCATCTATGCTTAGTGATGTGCCTATAGTGAATCAATCAAAACGAACAAATAATACTGTAAGTATTTATTTATATAAAAATTATTTAAATAGCATAATATGAATTTTGTGTAATTTTGCTAAAGTCTCATCGACTTCTTTCATTTTACAATATTTAGATATTTTAAATTTAAATACTGATTGGAATGATGTTGTTGATCAATAGTTAATGTAAACATATTGGCAGAGTATAGCAAAGATTTGAACACAGTTAAAATGATTAAATACATTAGTTTACTCAACTACTTGATACAGAAAAATATTGATTAAATTAGCAGTAAGCTGACCAGCAGTTTCCAATTATGCTGTTTAGAATGAAGTGTGAATATGGGCATTAGTCAGTAAGAAGTGGAAGTAAATTAAATTAAACTCATGTGAGTTAAAACAAAAAAAATGGCATGACAAAGTAGGAAACAATCAAAAGAAAAACTCCAACCAAATAAGAGTGATATCATTATTAGGAATGATTTGAGCTATTGCGTTGTGGATATTGTGAGAACTGAAAACTTTATCAATTTTTGTTGACATCAAGCTTCAAGCGTTTCGAATAAAACGGTTTCATTTCGAGATAGGAATGAAAATCAGCACTGGGCTGTGAGTACATCCGGCCAGTGAGTTCTAGAGAAAACGAAATTCACATTTTGGATTTGGCGGTTAGCTGCTGTCTTTCTATTCTACATAAAATAATGTTACCAAGATAAAGAAAACCTAACAGCGCTACCGTACATCTTTTACCAATTACTTCCAACTTTGTGTATAAATTTCTTATATCTTCTACCAAAACAATTATCGATGGTCGAACGGGAAAAATTATCTGCTTAAAATTTCATGAGTATCTTTCAAAAGCCTTTCTAATGATAAACTAATAAAACGTAGTGATGATATATCTTTCTCCTAATATTTCACTTTTACAAAAAATAGCTAATTACAATTTCCTAAATGGAGAGCGATGACGAGCACCCAGAAGGATGCTGCTTTCCCCAGGGAGGATCAAAATCTTTACCCCTTGCTTACAAGACCAGTGCTCTGACGATTGAGCTATGAAGGCTAAATTTTCCAAATACTATAAATAAATCATTCACCGCAATTTATCTTCTCCATTATTTGTTATGTGAAATTGCATTCGTTACTTATACTTCGTTGAGATTTCTTTAATTGCAAAATCATATTATGCTCTTTTCCTATTTTTATTATCTTGCATTTCTTGTAGAAATGTTCAACACTGAGTACAGGGACTACAACAGATTTGAGTTATTCTTTTCCAGTTCATATGGCTTGGTGTCAAGGCATTGAACGTCTTATTTATATTGGTCGTCTTGGTAAAGGCGCTATCGGTGTAAGAAGTGTTCCGTTTTACAATTTTCTATCACATTTTAATAGTTAACTGTATCAAAACTTCTGTTCATTTATATAATATAAATTGATTTGTGATAATTTTATTTTCCTTACTACTCTATACCTAATTTTGTTTACTATAAAGCAGTAAGTTAGGAAATATAACTGACTGACTAAACAAAAGCGCAGACCAGTTTATGATGTAGAAAAGTGTAAGTTTTTTTTTTCAGTCTTTCACACTTCACAAACCATTAACTATAACCCCTCAATATAACACAATTTAAAATCAATCACAACAGATAAAATTCATTGTATTTTTTTTCATCTTAATCCATGTAAAATTCTCTTTATCAATATGAAGAGAGAGAGCAAGAAGAAGAAATTAATTCGAACAACTTTCATTCATTTTGTTCTCATCAGTTGTTTACAATGTTTCATATCTCTAAACGAAATTTTCAACTAAAGTTTAACATATCTTATGAGAATGAAGTTGATTGGAATTTCGCATGAAAACATATCAGCATGATATGACTAACAAAAAGAGCTAAAAATACTAAATAGAGTTATTGTTTATTTACAGAAGCCAATGGCTATCTTAACTTAGTAGCTCAATGGATAGGGTGATTGTCGTTTGAAATGAAAACTATTGAATTTAAGTTACAGTATGAACACCAACATTAGGTGTCAGGTCCATCCAACGGATGAGTCTCATGTGGAACGAAACTCGTATCTTGAATTCCACTGTTAGCCACCATCCAACTTATTACGAAAATACTAGATAAAAGGTCACTGATTCATGTTAAATCCAAAAGAAAGTTCTCAAGCGTCGATCAAGGCCAAATTTAAGTAATTACTTAGTGCATTAATGGTACACCAGCTAACTACAATGTAGAATTATATGACGTAAGCTGAGACATTCAAAAAAAATCACAGCCTAAATGATGGACTGATGACATCATAAAATGGAATGTCTTAAAAAATAACGTAACGTAATAAAGAGTTGCATTATCCCTGGAGTCACGTCTATTATGTACGTATCAGGTCTGTTGTATCCGCAGTCTTACTGCTTATACTTGTAAACAGCAACCATCACACTTACAATGACTCGAGGTGAAAGCACTAAGACTAGTAAAAATTCAAATTTACTGACTGCTTACATAAAACAGTTCGTTCAAAATCACATCATCATTATACCAAGCCTACCAATCTATGGACTGATTTTACACGCATAGTTTCTAGTTGATAAGTTTCATACAAATGAATAGATGCATATGTGGACTATAAAGCACTTCCATAGTTGACCCAAAATTATACAAAGAACATAAATATCACACTGACCAAACATATTGACCTGAAGTAGTATTACGCCAGTAAATCTAATAACCAATATCACAGACATTATGAATAAAATGTTACAATTTTACAGTGAATTAGAAAAAAACATAAACTCACTTTTTTGTTCCAACTTATCAAGCGACCAGAGTAGAAAAGGAATAACAACTTTTACCTTTTGGATGTATGAATTAAGCTTCAGTGAATTTTAGAAGATTAGAGGTTGTTTGTTTACTAAACAACTGAAAGATTCTACTCTAACTAACTAATGTTTTATGTTACTGAGATTCCTAAAAATCGTCCAGTTAAACGCTATGGAATCTGAGATAGTTCCTTACTTTTTCTCGTTAGATTTGAATGTGCTTTACGTAACCAATACTCTTTGTAAAAATACTAGAGATTGGATTAAGTTGCCATCTTTTTCCCAAACAGAGGATAACCACTAAATTTCATGTATCAAGATACTAATCCGTTTCTACAATTTTGTTTGTGAATCACAGAGTCTACAGAAAATGTGTATCAATCGAATACGAACCTGTCGTTCGCCGCATATTAGTTTTCTTGCTATTCGTTTACTACTAACTTGTATGTACGCAAATTTAGGACGACTAAATGATCGTATTCAACATTATCGACGTATTCATCAAACTCAACCATCAGAAAGTACCAGCATAAATTATGAAAAGGATATTAATAATAAAATTAGCCCAGCTGATATGTCAGGTGAGTTTTGATTTCATTACTTTTACACTCAAAGTTGTACTATTATCAACATCGGAAATGTTTATGTAGCTTGAGAGACATTTTCATCGAATTGTTGAATAAACAGCTCAACTTGAGACATCATTGACCTTGAAAACACATTAGGGACTGGATATGTTACAATGTTAATCGGATTCGGTCATGTGAGTTTACTTCAACCAATCGTTCATGCTGGCAGACTTCAGAATACCAAGCCTCAGCAAAGCAAAGTGAAGTAGAGGAAGGTTGGCAAGCTAACTTCATGCAGGGAAGCGTGACTCAGTATTTATAGTCAAACAAAATAAGCTAGATATGCGATGAGCGAAGTAAGATGCACACATACACACGCACTAGAATAGCAATATCCAAGATAAAAGCGAATAGTTGGCAAGGTAGGAAGACGTGTGAATAACTCGAAAAGAACAGGTTGACTAAACTGTCTGAAGTCTGGGTAAGCCGTGTGGGCTCGACATATATGTAGGCATATCACATAATCGAGTTTTTCTGTTAGAATTACTAGATGATACTAAATGAACCACCTATAAACATTTTAGTTCCTTCAATATAAAGAGTCCTCTTTTAGTTCTGTTTGCAGTGCCTGTTGTTATGTACTAGGTCGAATCAGTTGTTTGACCGTTGTACAGTGTAGCACCTCACATATATTTTGTACTTTTATCATTGTGGCATTATCGACTATATATTTTTGTATTAAACCCGATATTTGTATTAATCATTGAATATTTCGAATAATAAAGAAATTGTGCCAACGACTCGTGATCTATAGTAGCGCTTCGTCAAGATGGAGATATACGGAATTTAGAAGATAAAGAAAGTCCGACGTTATATTCACTAATTAGCTTAAAACTTAGGTCTCGGGTCTTTTATCAACTATCTCCAACCATTCCACACTAAATACATTCTCCTGCCACGTGCTAACAATATTATGTGTCGTAGACGATATGTTTCTCCCAAGATTGATGCACATAATCCCATAAGCGTTACATAAGTTTGTCTATATTGACAGGCTTGTCGAAGAAACAAATAATAATCGATATTAAATATATCATTCCTTTTAGAGATTATTAACAGATGATTAATGTTATTAAGAATGTTATCACATTTAGATAATAAGAATGACTGAATATTTGAATATTAAGTGTTACCACTTTTTCACTATGATACTAGTTAATACATATAACTAAATATTCCTTTACTCGTAGAATTTCCCTGATTTGTGTGAAGTTTATTTTATTTTATATCGCAAAGTATGACTGCATAACTGTGAATCATGCAATATTCGTTTAACTATCTTCCTAATTCGAATAGGTACTTCAGATACATCTGGTCAGTCCTCAATGAGACTCCCATGTCAAGTCTCTGACAATAGCCCTCTTGAATCGCTTCCTTCATCAATTCTACAGGATTTTGAAAATATTGCAGCTATTACACAAGAATCTCTCAATTGTCTATGGGAAAGACTTCGTGGTGGAACATCACTCATTAACTCTCCCGTCCAACCTACTCATGGATTACAAAGTCCTTGGACTATGAGTGCTTGGACAAGTGTTATCGAAGCTCGTTTGATTGCAAGATTATTACCTTTGATCAGTATTGATGTGACTCAAACTGTTACTAGTTTATTAATCACTCCAGAATCAGCAAATAAACAGTCAGCTCTTTCAGCATCTGTAATTGGTTGTGATTCTCTACCAACTTCTGTTTTAAATAAAGCCTTAGGTGAATTCGCTCGTGTTGATCACACATTTCCAATTTTAGCAGCTTCAACTTTGACTGAGGTAAAATATATCTCAAATATTTTTTAAACAATTTTTTTTGAAATTTTATGATATGTGCAAAACAGCTGATCGTTCGTATACAACCCAGTCAGTCAATACAACTCGGAAATCAGTGAAATGCATTATACACTGATGACTTGTGCCATACTAAAATTTATACGGTTTGTTTTAAACAAAAAAACGAGTCCACTATGGACATCAAGGCACACACTGCATAAAATGGTGCAACACAGCATTATGGAAATGTGTGACAGAATTGGTAGGTTGGTAGGGCACCACATACTCATCATTAAAGGTATGTACTGTCGTCGCATGTAATGTTGATGTACAGTTAACTCATCTTTTATTCACTGGCTAGATCTTATCGTACCATTGATTTATCATTCTATTAACTTGTAACAGACAATTCAATTCGCATTCATGGTTTTGAATGTCTAAATGTAAAAATGCTCATATTTACTAGGTTTTATCTTCTATTACTGCTTCATAATAAATTTTTTTATCTTTTATCTTTAGTTATTTGAAGGTTTTATGCAAACTGAAAATGGTCAAAATTTAATACGACAATGGATACTTCTTTCATTCCCTACGCTGTTAAGTCGTCAACCTTCTAATTTAGCAATATGGGCTTGTACTGTATGCTTATTAGCTGCAGCTACAGATCAGAAACTACGCACAGCGTATCCTTTGTTAATGTATATGCATATATATATATATATATATATAGTTAAACGTTGTTGTATATTTTTTGAAGCAATAACCGATTTAATGACACACTGTGAGGTCTTTGATGCGACACAAACAAACTAATCAGCATAGAAGTCTTAAAAATAAGGGAGTTATGAATGTTGAAAGATAAGAAGACATATGAATTTATAAAAGGTTACTAAAATAGAATATATTTAAGTTATCACGATCATTCAGCGTCTTCGACCACTGACTACATTATATTTTACGGTGATCTGAAGTAAGTACTAAAGTTTCCTTATAACTACTTGAAATAATAAGTACTTATCGTATAGTCTAGTAGCATTCCTTACTTTGAGGTTTTCATCTGGATAAATCTATTGTATATAAGCTTGCTTCGTAATTACTATATCGAAGTAATTCGTACAGGATGCCCATATATATACCAACCAAGATTGATCAAATTTTAGTCAAAAATATCAACAACCAGATCATTTGATTAAACCATTTCAAATTGAGTTCAATCTCATATCCGTTTCACATTTGAATGGTTATATAGATTGATTAGCTAAGTGGATAACTCAAATGCTTTTAAAGCATTAGGTTATTTGGTTCTAAGGCGCATGTACATTCTTTTGACCAGTTCCAAGAAGAATGAAACACTTGTTTTGAATACCATTGCTCTAGTCACATTCTATCTGCTCTAGATTACAATAGGATTATTCATTTTATAATATATCTCGAAATTCAGTTAAATTATGACATTAATTCAAACATTTATTATGCCTACCAAACTCAATAGATCGATCATATCATATGATGTAAAAGTGTAATACCATAGATATCTCTATTATGTTTCTCTTTTTTTTTTAAAATAACACAATACAAATTGTGCCAAACAAGTAAATGTAAGTGAATTAAGTAGATGATTTATATATGTAGATATAAGTCTATTTACGTGTTGACTGTATTTTCCTTAACACTATGTATTTACATATATATTACATTTCTTATTCATTCATGTATCTCTACTGTTCAATCAGGCTATTTTTATGTCATACTTATAAGTTGTCAAATAATTCATTCGATATCAACACTGATGCAAATACTCATCATGATCACTCACTTTCTCCCGATTCATTCATCGTCAAATCCGGTGTCAATCTCTACATAAATGATCTTTTATGCTTAGCTGCTTATCATTTTGTTACAGATGGTTTATTAAAACCTATTTTGAAATCGGAATCAGAGATATTACATAATAAACGTCAAACTGAACGTGAACATTTTCTAGCTTTGATCAAGGATCATTGTGATACATTAAGCAATAATAAAATTAATCATCCCATTACTACTCCAACTACTACTACTACTACTACCAATGCAACAAAGGATATCAGTAATGATATTGAAAATTCCTCTGTATTTCATCAATTATATCAAATTATTAAACAACAAGTCGTTGACAATTCATCTCATAAATCCAATTAATGGCTGTGGTTGTTTTGTTTTATTTTACAGATAAATAAAAAAATTTTTTGAATCTCAAGCAAGACTTTCTTTTATGATAGATACTACATGTATGTATCTTTTTTTTCCAACGTTCATAAATTTTATTTTTCAATACTCTTTATCTCATTACAATAATAATAATAATAATATTAAAATTGTGTTAATCTGTCAGTGTAGACTGCCTTTTTTTTTTCTTTTTGATACTACTTTCTTATCTTATCATCCCACAATGTAAGTGATTGAGTGCACATAACTAAGGATAGATGATGGAATTAAAAAGGTGAAAGGTCAAAAGTGAACTTTCTGTTTTTTAATGATCATGTTAAAATAAGTACCCTACCTACGAATAGTAAAATAATAACAATAATATTATACTTGACAAGATCAGTCAACATTTAATTGAGCATATTTTTGTTATCATTATTGTTTGTTCTATTTTGTTGTTGTTGTTGTTGTCGTTGTCGTTGTCTTCATTGTGGTCATTGTTTACAGATAGTTTTCTACTTTTTTTTTTACTCTTTTTATTCTTTTTATTTGGCTGTAATGGATTATTGTGTGTGTGTGTGTATTTTTTCTATTTTATTTTATCACTTATCATTGAAATGTTCACCTTCAGCACTCACATGTATTTATTTATATGTTAATACAACTGATTGGATGTATGTGAATGTCTTTTTTCTGTTATTTTAATTAGGACGGTTTGTTTGAAAGTTTGTAAAGCTTATTATATGGTGGATATAAGAAACAAAATTTTGGATATGATAATTGCTTGTCATGAATGAAGAGAAAGATTTTTTAGGATGGATGTTTTCGAGATTCAGTTTTCGAAAACTTTGTGTATACGTTTTGTAGCTTGTCAGGTATATCCTAGAAATTGTTAAGTTCACATGAATTCACTACTCGGTAAGGACTTGTTCTTGAAGGATAAATCTCTAGAAATCTTTCGGCAGTAGGGATATATTGAACACTGTTATCTGGAAGTGAAGATAGACACTTTTCGATAATATTGTAGAATAGTTCCTTTAATTTCGTTTTGTCTCACTTAACAAAGAAGTTATCCACCGCTGACAATATAACACGGTTGTGCAATATCATGAATCATTTGAACTTAGATATTCCAGCTTATTGGTTTATAATTAGGGCAATCGCGCTCAAGACCAAAGGTCGTGGGTTCAGTTCAGTATTTCTAGGTTTCTGATAGTGTTCCCGCTAATGTCAGTTTGTGATTTGAATTTCGAAAAATCTCCGGAAATTCCCTATAATACAAATAAAATAAAACTAGTAATCTATCTGAAGTACAAAACTGTGCTAATTTTTGTAGTTTGTCAATCGAAAACGTAATCGTGGAAATTCACACGTAACTAAGATGTTGACAACTGATCTGATTGTCCGTGGGGGATTAAATTTCTAATTTTCATATCTGTTAATAAAAATACCGTTTGTATGCTAGTAAACTGAAACTGGTAAAACAATGCTCAAAATTATCTGCTCGGTAGTTGGCAGTCATTAGTGATACGTTGTTGAATAATCACTATCTATGCAAGTACTCCGTTTGGAAACCTTTTAGGGTTACTGCTAGTCTCAAGCCAGGATAAAGAAGCGATTTCGGGCACGGGATTAGCAATCTCTTCCGGTGAAAAACTAACCCTCATTATACTGGTCAAAAGTAGCACCATATTCCCACATAAACTCATCCACGAAGCCATACGGATTTCACCAGATTACACTGCACAGAACCATACAGACCGTGTCTTCTTTAATAGAAAGTCCAGAAGGATCATGAAGGATAGCTGGGCGAAAAGCATCACAAACGTTCAAAATGCACATTATTCAACTGGTTTTAAACATTTTTCGATGCAGCCTAAATAGTTGAATTCAGTGGAGATCATTTAGTTTTGATCGAATGTTAAATGTTTATGATTTTTTGCATTTCAAAATTACTTGATTTGAAAAACGGTTCAAGTTGTCCTAATAGTTCAGAATAAGCAGCTCTTTAGATCAATGAATAATGTATAGATGTCACATCCGACCGAAGCTGCTACCTTGATGTGGTGGTCGGGCTTGCCTATCGTGATGACTCAACCGAGCTATACTGGCTGGAACATATGTTCCTGAAGGTTCTACCATGCCAGGCAGGTCGATTGGAGAGCGATAAGACTAAGAGCAGCTACCCAAGGTCTGAGGGCGAAGTCGTACTGCTGACTGCAGAGGGGTGTGACAGCAGTAAGGCGTTTCCCTCGGACAACCAGCATCTGCAGCGATGCTGCCTTCTCACAAGGAAGGAAGGGTTAGAAAAGGTCGGCCGTAAAAATGTCACCCCTCCCCTCACACACGGATTTCCGTCTCTGGCGGTAAGGGTGCCCACTAAAGACCTTTAAGAACGGAGCTAATCCTCAAAAAACGTTTCATAAAAAGGCCGTGCGTGACCGGCCTCAAGCAGTTGTCCCTTGGACTCTGCGGTCACGCACCCAGTTCTCTAAGACCAACACTAATCTATTTTCCTTTTCAGGTTCCTCAAGAAACAACCTTCCACGGTGTGGGCAGCCGGGAAGTGACAACCGCCCTCATACCCGTAACAGCATGCGAGACCAAATTGGTCAAAATCAAATCCTTCCTACACCCCCTAGTACCTCTCTTATCTCCAAGACTAACTCTTCTCACATTCATTTATCACAGTGCACAGCTAATGCAAACGATGCGAGTTCGCGAAACGTCATTTCTGGTCTCCTGAAACCCCGCTCTATACTAGATGTTGGAGCTTTTAATGTACGGACATTGTTTCAAAAAGGGCAACAGGTATCATTAGCTTGGACTTTAGAATCTCGTGCCATCGATGTACGCTGCGTCTCGGAAACGCGCATACAGGATCCGAGTAACATCATCCACCTGACCTCACCATGTCAAGATAAAGAAGCAACTCGATTTACTCTTCGTCTATCTGGAAGCCCTAATGCTGCTTCCCGGGTTCTCGCTGGTGTAGGCATAGCATTGAGTCGTAGAGCAGAACTATCTCTCCTTGACTGGATCCCAGTAGATAGTCGCTTGTGCGTCGTCCGACTAAACGGGACAGTAAGAATTCGAAAGGATAGGGACACCCGTCGTTGACTCTTCGTCATATCAGCCTACGCCCCCACTGACTTCACTCCAGACGAAGTGAATGATGAGTTTTACAGAAAGCTTTCGAACCTCCTCCAAAAGGTTAAGCCCTATGATATAGTAATAATGGCTGGTGACTTTAATGCTCAAGTAGGTATACTACGTGAAAATGAAAGACACCTTGGTGGATCTTATGGTCTCGCGGCTCAAAGAACAGACAATGGCGACCGTCTGTTGCAAGTATGCTCAGATAACCGCCTATTTCTAGCAAACACTAATTTTAAGCATAAAGAAAAAACATCTTTTGACCTGGCGACCCCCGAAGTCGTCTCAATGTTGGACGCAACTAGATGATATCGCCATCAGCCACCGATGGAGGTGTTCGATAGAGGACTGTCGCTCGTTCTGGGGCACATGTATAGATTCAGATCATGCCCTAGTGCGAGCTCGTATTCGTTTGAGGCTTACTGGACGTAGGAAAGACACTGTAAGGAAGCCTCTTAGGGCTTTACTTGATGATAATCAAGCTAAGAAAATATTTCAGGAGGAACTAGAAAAAAAGTTAGGCGACAATGCAAGTGATTCCTATCCGGAGGCAGGTTGGAATGATATCAAGAAGGCTGTGGAAACAGCAGTGATATCTGATAGCAAGGTAAACCATAAGGCTAGAATGAAGCCGTGGATTTCACTCGCATCCACCGAAAGCAAAAGCGATGGAAAAGACAGCGGCGATAGGCAACACTAGACAACTTTTCCGACTGATCAAGGAAACTGGTATTAGGAATCCTAGTGTAAGACTATCTCGGAAAAGGATGGTCTTATTGTCCATTCTCAATCCAGGAGACTGGACCGATGGGCAGAACACTTTAGGGACCAGTTTAACTAGCCTCGAGCCATACTTCGGTTGCACACGATCCTCAGTCATCCTGAATGGCAAATCGATTTAAGTCCTACCAGTCTACATGAAGTTGAGAAAGCTATAGGAAATCTAAAGGGAGGGAGAGCAGCAGGTCCTGATAGATTGACCCCTGAGATATTTAAGGATGGTGGTCCAGTTTTAACAGTTAGACTGACCGAGATCCTAGGTAGAATCTGGGAACTGGACATAATCTCATCTGACTGGTCTAAGTCGCTAATTGTCCCAATCTACAAGAAAGGACATAAGGCCTCTTGTGACAATCACAGGGGAATAAGTTTAACTAATATAGTTTTTAAATTGTTAGCCTCCATTATACTTAGACGTCTAACAAGAGCATGTGAAGAGCAGACTATAGAAAACCAGTCTGGTTTCAGACCTGGACCTATATGGATGCGAAACATGGCCGTTAAGAGTAGAAGATGTTCGTAGGTTACTAGTATTCGATCATAGATGTCTGAGAAGCATTACTCGCATACCGTGGGACAACCGTAAAAGCAATGCTAGGAAACGAGTACTAGGTAAGGATGGCAGATCAATAGATGAAGTGGTGAAACATCATCAGTTGAGGTGGTTGGGACATGTGTTACGAATGCCTTACCACAGACTGCCTCGACGAGCTATGTTTTGTGGTGTAGGAGTAGACTGGAAGTAACGTAGGGGCGGCCAGACCAAAACATGGCAGAAATCCATGAAGTCACTGACTAGTGGACTGAGTCATGTTGGTACATGTAGACTACCTGGTTGGGGTCCGCGAGAAGAAAGTCACCAATGGTTAGAGACCTTGAACGACATGGCCTTAAATCGTTTTCATTGGCGCAAGTGCATTCCTTCGTTGACCTCTCTCAAATCCTAATCTTCTGGATTCGTCAGCGCGTCTACCTTTGTCTTTCTAACCTTATTTCACTTAATTATACTCCTTGAATAATATCTTCAAACCCTAGTCTTCTTCATTACCATTAATACCTCTACTATCTTTGTCACTATGGGATTTGATTTTACATTTGCGTCTCTGTGCTAATGTGGTATGGCAACCTGAAGTTATGTACATATGTACGAAGTTCCACGTTGCAACTGACTGACTGACTGACTATAGATGTCACAATAATCATTAGGAGAGCTTTATAGTAACTAAAGTTATTCAAAGTTTGTAGTTGATTATACATTAAACATATAACCACTAACTAATGACCGTCTGAAAAACGATAGAAATTGTGATATCATTATGGTGATTTCACAACGGATGAGGGTGAAACAAGTTGGTGTTACCGTTAGTTTCAAATCGAATCCCATAAATTTGTACAGAAATGAATTTTTCTTGGTTTTGTGAATATCATCCAGACAAACAACTGAGAAAATACTTCTTGATGCATAGTGATACCGTATTGTGAATGCAGCCGCTTACACACTTAGAGATCAGCAATGTCTTCTACAATAAATTTACTGGTGCCTGAAACCAACTGAGGTTTGAAAAATTACAAACTCAACATCAGTTAATTGCTTCATTTATCTGTTGTTTTCGTAGGCTTAAGGGTTTGCATTATTGGTTACAGTGCATATTCCTATGAATGGCAGTTCAGTATTCTTCTGTCAGAAATGGATGCTGGATAATCATATCTTACTGAGAACTTACGGAAGCAATCCCATAAAATTCTTAGACTTACCTTCATTAAGGGTAATTTCTAAGTATTCTTGCTGCTCTCTGACTACTCTTCCAACATACCTGAGTGTATCTTTTAACTCTCCTAATGAGGGAAATGTCATTGGAAATAGTGTACACAAGAACAGATGATCAGTGTTTGTAAACACGTTCGAAAATTAACCTAAAGTCGTTTAAGTTCGATTATTTCGACTTCATTTCATAAAAAAAGGTAATTACCCAACAAATTACTGTTGAAGATTACCAATATTGTTGAACAACAGTTCTTAGGTTGAACAGGAACATTAAAATAAACTATTATGGTGATTTTTTCACATGATACCACTTAAGTGTTCACTTCCTCGATTATAAGACAATCGTTTTATTATTGCTGCTTAATCAAACTGCTCATCACAGTGACCGACCCAGACTTCTAGGCCACCTATTTTCCAAGCCATGAGTTTTCCCATCATAGATTTGTTATTTTTTTCAAATTAATTGTAGCTGACTAAAATGATGTCTAGTTTGATCATTTCTCTTAGTACGATGATAAGAGTCTAATACTTGACCATGCAAATAAGAGAATATTGTCATTCAGTAGATTACTGAAGACCTACTAAAAATCATAGAGTACTATCTATGATTACAAAAATCCATAATGAATGTTATTCTGAAATGCATACTACTCTCTTGTGGTTATTATTAGGGACGTTAGAACCCCAGAACTCGCTTGATAAATGCCTAAATTTCGGATTTTATGATTCTGAGCATGAGCTGATCAGTTGACCTTGAGATTTCATTTCCCGCCAGGAAAATCCTTGGCTGTGATTGTTTGCTGCGTATTTTAGTGTGCTATTCTCGTAACTGTCCCAAGGACGTTTCTATGATGTATAAATAAACGATATTTATGTGCTTGATTGTAATGTGCTTTCTGGGTGTTTGTAGAATACACTTTCTACGCTATATCAAGACTTTTCATTAGTTCTTTTGGGTCAACGGATCAGAGTAGCCTACCTGGACGCTGAATCATTGTCTCGTTCGCGTTTATCGACTAAGGTGAACACGTACTAGTTTCAAGCATACCTAGTGACAAACTTAACAGTTATCAGCTGATTCACTCGATCCAGTCAATGAATAACCATAATAAAACTATGATTATTTTAAATAAATATTTTTTACTTGATAGATGTATTATACTATTTTATATCTATCTACCTATGAATATGTTAACATTGAAATCCACTCAGAATCCTTCACAATGATGCGGACGCATTCACTCTTTAATTTTCTTATGATCATGAATTCCAGTATCACTTCAGGCTTGTTTTTCAAACATGTATCATTGGATTTCATATAAAACTGTCAAGTGGAAGATATGCACAGTGCATTTTTATAGAGCTCTCTATTCAGTCAAATCTTGTCACAATACATTATCAAACTAAAATGAATATCGAAAGAAATTAGTTAGTAATATGACCATTATAGATATTTTAAATAATTGATTCATGTGTAAGATAATGTTGATTGAAATAAAAATAGAAAAACTGAAACATTAAATTTTGCATGATTACTAATTGATCCATTATGTGCTATAGATCGCAAAAGAATAGGAAGTCATCGAAATTGAAAAGATCCTGAGGGCAGAGAACAAAACGCCACCGCAATCATCCTCCTGAGCTACAAGTTTTCTACACCATTGAAAAGATCCATTAAAAATGAATGAGACCGCTGGTCAGAATAAAAGCGAATATCAGGTAATCAGACAAAGAACACAAGTATCTCCTCTGTTGTTGTCAGTTTAATTCAACAATTCTTTTCTGAGGATCTTCTTTAAAATGTTTACACCATACTACACATTTTAAACTAGTCAATGAGAGCGTGAATTTCCGCTGTATTATTCAGTGAATACTTTCAACTTTTCCGACATAGCCTTATGTGTTTCTTTTAGCATCACACAAACTAGCGTCAATCTTTATCTGTTCATCTGTATGACAGACTGTTTAAAACTTTAATCTTAATTTCAAAACTTCTCGTTTCTCGCATGTATTACCTAGCCAGTTATAACTGGATACATGTGACTATATTCCATCCTCCCCCGATAGAGGTGGTCACAGTAATGAACTAGAGGTTGTTGTTTTTAAACACAATCAAGAGCCTGAACTATGTTATATGGTAGGTAAGATATAAGCCTGATAATCAGATCATAATAACCACTTCACGAATGATCCTCAACTGTCAAATGCTTTGTTTCAAGTGATATTTAATCATGTTTGTTTTATATAAACGTGTCATTTTGCTGGCCATTGATTTTATTCTCTTGAATTCGGAATCACTAATTCAGTTTTTTAGTCAGTCACAATTTCATGTATCTATCCATTCAGACAATTGATCTTAAAATACCGTCCTACACAATCCATGAAGACCAACTCCGTACTAATCCAAAGTGGTGTTGGATTGTGGTTGACCTAGTGAAGTACATATTAAAATTATCTTCTGTGACTGGGGTTCAACTGAGAGATGATCTCAGTTCGAGTCATATTTTTCATGTAGAAAATTTTCACGCTAAATTGTATTATCTGGAATCCTGTTACAATAGGTGGACTTATATTTAGAACATGCAAGCATATGTGGACAAATTTGTTAGATAATGCTAACTGTTGTAGTTTCATCACTCTTTATCAACTTGTATTCAGTTTAAGCGTGTTTTCCACATGACAGTGATTAAATAACTTACAATTATCAGTTGACAAATGCAAAGATTAATGAATAGATTTCGAAAAACAGTTTACCAAAACCTCTATCTAGATATTGACCATAATTCATTATTAAAGTTTGTATCTTTCTATTGTTCACATTGAGAATTAACTTGAATAAGTTTTTTTCCGTATACGAGCTCTTTGAACAGATTATTCGATGATGTTTACGTTTATATTTTAGACAATACCTATGAAGGTGCACTTTTCTTCGTATTTTAGACTCATGTTACATTACCTGGATCCCTACGTAAATATCACACCCGTTGAACAGATCGATGGTGATCGTGACTCAGTTGCTATGATGATTTTATTAAATGTGATTACACGCTTTACATGGACAGGTTGTTTTACTTTTTTCGTGTGCTGATCCATTCGTAACAAATAGAGTATTTATTGGACAGATTTGGAAATTACCAGTTCGTATATTACGTCCAATGCTACTGCTTCTATTTACAATAATAACCTACTGGAGAAAATTCGAGTATTTGTGAATATGAATACTGGGTTCAAATATTAACGTGGATGCAGGTATGTGCAGCTGTTAGGTCTCAACTAAGACGAAACAAACGCTCTGCATTCAATTAATAGACCATAATCGCAAACACTAGTCATTACTTAGTAGTTATTAATTGGTATCCTTATCTCTGAATGAGCACTAGTTTCGTTGAATCTCACCGAGGGTCCTATCAAGTATCAAAGCAGATCCCCAGCTTCATGTTGACTTTATTTCGCCTAATTTGAACTAAATTTTTTCTCGGTATCTGACAGTTTCATCCTATCACAATCAGGCCAGACGGATACGTGAATGTTAAAGTATAGACATTGCTTTAAAGTAGACTAAACTACCACATACCGATGTTGTTAATACTTATTTTCATTTGTCTATATCATAAATTTTAGTAATACAACAAATGTTAAACCTTGTACAAACACTTTCTTTTATATACTATTTTTGTAATTTTCTATGCCACACCATCACCTGTCAATTTATCTTACTGGAAAAAAAATCTGCATATTTAGCAATCTTTTAGTGCCCCTAATATAATGACTAATTTCTGTTGTTTGCTATCTGACCAGATCATTATAATACTACAGTCTGGATGTCAGGCAATGTTCCACTCATTAAGATATTGACAAAGGTCAACAGACGTCATTCATGTTATGAGTCATACATGATCAGCTGATATGTATAGAGCATATCATATCACACACATGTCTAGTACAATATGTTTTTATATGTGACCATTTTAACCAATAGGCTAAATTCAAATGGCATGATAAATGAAGGCGTTTCTGGCTCATCGATAGGTCAACTATTTAAAGTCAGTCAAGGTCAGACTCATGTGGATGTGATTAAAGTGAAAAACAAATAGTCTCTTTTCATTTCTCTTGTTGTTTGTCTAGTGCCATGTCTGGTCATAATGTTAGTGGTTTATTGGATTACGAAATGAATCCTGTTACAGCGCAGTATATTTTATTTACTTCGTTGCAAAAACTTGATCAAGCTAAACGTTCTCGAGGAGGTATTAGACTGCGTCATAGTCTTATGATCACTGTAACCGCACTAAAAGCAAAACAACTTTTATGGGGTCAAAATCAATCAATTCACGATAATGAATACATGTCAAAACCCAATCTACATGACGAAGAATATGAGGCTGTTCACTTATCATGTCACGTGTATGATCAGCCAGTTTCAAATCAAGAACTAAGTGAACTCTCCTATCTCCACGACCCAAGTGAGTCCACATTTTTATTTATATATCTACTATGTATGCAACTTTGAGGTTTTCTATTTCGATTTATCTAAGTTTAATTTGTGTTGCATGCAAAATCACAGTAGTAGATTAATCTCAAGGGGATCATAAATTAACCTTACACTTATTTCATGTACTATGCTATTCAAAATAGATGTTTTGTACTGACTTGAAAAAGTTGGTTAGCTATATCAATCTCTAGCGATTTAAAATGTCTTTTACCCTTGGTTTATTAATACAATTTCACTGGACTCATATATACCACAATCCGAAGCAGTTATAGGACGGGTTCATCTTTCAATCTTATTTGATGTAATGGGGAAACCAGTGATTTCATGTTATAACTTAAGCAATTTTCTTAGTTATTGCTATCAAAATGCGAGTATCTATCATATCAAATGCTTTTTTGTCTCCCATTAAAATCTGTAAAAACGTTTCCTCAGCAATTTATGTGAATAAGCGTCATGTCTCAATCTTCTTCACAAGTAGTAGAGGTCCCTTTCCTGAATATATTTTTCATTATTCTGACTGTAAACTAATATTTTGTTTTTTAATGATTAAAACACCAATGATGTTAGTCTTGTACATCATCAATGTTAAATAGCGAATTTCGTTATTGTATTGCTTGAATTAGGTCATTAAATATGACCTTATTGACCTTTTTCTGAGTGAATATCTTGATTTTTGCTTGATGATTCATCGATTACGATATTTTTGTTTCAGGCTAAATTTTCGGTTTAAGAGTCAGGCATTTCCTCTTGGATCAGTGAGTCATTCTGATATCATTCAGTTTAAGTTTGAGAAACCGAGTAGTTATCACACAAACGTGACACATTTAGCTATAGAAGTTTGAACTTCATTAATGAGTTCCAATTGTGTCTTTTGGTAAAATTGTTAGTATACCACGTGATTCTTACTTAATTTCAATGGCAACTTAGTAGCCTTTAAACCTACCTTTCATTCAGTAGGTTGTATAATCGGACACAACGCTTTGAGTTTGATCGCTCAGGTCGTATCTGTAACTCACTAACAGTGTTTCAACGTGGAGTGTGCAGACATGTACTTCGTTAATGAATTACACTGATGTATAGCTATTTTGCATAGCATGATTAACATATGCAGTACCAACAGTCTGAACTACGAAGAATAGTAGACATAAAGCCATATTTCAAAATGAATACTATTCCTATATATTCGCCTTAATACCACCTGAATGTTTTGTCCTTAATACTATCCTGTTTCACCAATTTAGTGAGGTATTCTCTCGACTCGAAGTCACACTGTGTAAGGGTTAAAAGTTGATAAGTTGAAAAGCCTTTGGAAATTGATAGTTTTGTTAGTGTTGTTAATGGCATGGCAAATGAAATTGGCTACACAAAGTGGAAGTAATAGTGTCTTATGGAAGTCCGAACCATCTCTAGTGTTATAATATCGGTCTAATTGTTGAAGACTGTATTTACAGCTCGTTGTAAGATTGGTTTTGCTTTACGCTTGGGAGACTTCGGTCATCGTTGACTCGTAAGGACTGCTTACGTCTAGTGGACGCACGATGTAAGTACTAAGGTTCAGTAATCCAATTAATATTGTCATCCTGAAACACCGCTTTCGGTGACTTAGGCATACTTCACGATTTTTCCCACAAAGATTCCCATTTCTTGTAATAGCTGTCGACCCTTTGTGTTAAAAATACAAAGTGGTCTGTCTATGTCTGTGCATCACGACTTCGTGGTTGTGGTCCCTGGCTTTAGATATTATCAAACATGGCTCGGAATAGAAACCAGAAACGACCAGACAGCAGTTTTCCTCTGCATTCTTTATAAAGGTGAGAAAAACTCTGCTGAAAACAATCTTAATGGTTCTCTTTTCATTTTAGCTGTCCTCTTATTAAACATTATTCTTGTTCATTTTGGTTAGTTATTCATTCTTTCCCTTCTTTATTTCTTTACAATGTTATCTTTTCATTGTGACTAGAGCATACTGTTTTTTGGTATCCACCATTCGATCAAAGCTTATCTCTTCATACACTACTGAATGAGCTATTATCTTTGCTTTAGCAAGTTTTTTTGTTACTTATATAGATAACGTTTGTTTCGATCAATAGGAAACTTACTAATCGTCGAATTACCACAATTTATTCCTTACATAGTAATATCTTCTAATCTTTGAAATGGTATCATCAAGATTCATATCGTTTTCGAGTTTTCATTGGGAAGTTATTAGTTCTTATCCATCTTTATTTTACTGGTTAAAATTTATAACGTGATACAGTGTGAGATAATGTTCCGCCAGTTCTGTTCAACTAACCGAGTTAAATTTTATTTAATTGAATGAAAACTCGCAAAACAATGATTGTTAATGAGTATACAGATCATGACTCATTCTGTCCTACATTAAAATGACAATTACGTCACCGGGTTTCTGTAATTGTTAAGCATGACTTGATGACTAATAATTAATTCTTTGGTTAAATGTTTTGGCAAATGATTTTGCTGCGTAATTATAAAGGATGGTAATCTTTGTTAATTGAATTATGGTCCACCGGTAGCACAACTTCAAATACCCCACTAACATTTAGTGTATAATTGAGTTGAGTTGGTGTTTTATAAGTTCCATTTGTAAAGTTAAATCAATCTCAGAAATAATGTGTAAACTGTGTGCTAAGTTTTAAACTGCACTTGATCAAAAATTTAATGAAACTGAACGAAGTGTTAGAATCTAGATCGATAGGGCTGGACTTGAACTTGGATTTCAATAAGTATGCGTCAGTTACTCAATCTATGGTGTGTTATATATTAAATATGGATATATTCTGGCTAACATTATAAACTAATGTGCATTTCATCCCATTTGGTACTCTCCATATTAATGTATATACGTGTGCTAGTGTTCGCACTGGAACCCAATACATTTCAACTCAAACACAACGCTTTATCCGCTGAGCTAGTGAGTGCAGATAGCTAATAACTTGTTTTAATAGGTATGGTGTTTGTATCAGTATGAGAAACAGTAGAAAAAGTTACTGGCCATATGGACTTATTGGATAGTACGATAAGTGTTTGAAACGAAAGTACTAGGCTTGAATTCTTGCGTAAGCATCAACACTAAGATACAAATACAGCTAATGAGTTCAAAAAGAGACGCGACACACGTCCTACAATTCATTTAGCTGGAATAACTTGTAGTGAAATCACCATATCGAGACAACTAACTAAGACTGATCAAAATCCGGTCAACAATATAAACAGCAAGATAACTCAAATTCTTCTTAATGATGATTCACATACTAAGCGTCAATCAACAGAACGTTGAGCTTATATTCAACGACTTTTCTTATTAACTTGTTAACACCAATGTTCTTTTTTTCACATTTCGTTTCAGGTGAACCTTTCTTCCCTCCACCAATAGATGAAATGAATGAAATCGATAACACTCCATCCAAACGATTACGCCTAGATTATACATTCTCTTCATCACCTTCATCAGTACCATCATACAATGAGCCCTATCTAGTCAGTATTAAATAAATTAAAGAAAATAAGATGTTCTCATCAAATTGTCAATCTAATTAACTTACCTCGTTTATTTTTCTGTGATACATCTTATTCAAGCAAGCATCTTACTTTCCATTTTATGTTTGTTTATACTCTCTGTATTCGGATGTTGTGTACAAAATGTGTGTGTGTTTGCATTGGCCAAATTAGAAAAATATTTATGAACTCTTGAAAAGCAGAGTATTATTTTCTACTTTTCTCTCTTTTCAAACATTTTTAAAAACATGTTTTTGTACAAAAAAAATTCATCGAGTTTTTATTCTTTGTTTCAAATAGTTCATTTCAAAGCGTTTTTTCTTGTTTTGAATTGAGTATTTATTGTACATGCTTTTTTAAATAACCAAAAAAAAAAACTATTTCACTCATAAAAAATAAAGAATTTTCAAATACTTTTTTTCGTTTTATTGTGAATGCGTTTACAATGTGAGGGATATGTGCTTTTGTCATCTAGTAGTAATAGTGCAAACTTCTGACATCATACTAATAAACCCTCCTGTTGTATTTGTTTCATGTTCATGTTATTCAGTCAGTACACTATGCAGTGTATTATCGTATCAGTCTAATCAAATAAATTAAAATGAACAACTTTTTTTTACGTAATGAGGTTTCTAAAAACTAGGATCAACAAAGCTTTTCATACATGTATGCTATAGGGTTTATTTCAAGAGTCTTAGCACATATATCTTAATTAAGGCTTGTATAAATTGATTTTTATCATACTGTGTGCTTTCGTTACTAAAAGAAGCGAATATCTAGATTCGTCTAGGTGTTTTAAAATAACTGGATGGGTTAATTAATAGTTTGAAATTATGTCTATTCTATAGGTTTCGTTGTTTTGCCTCGAGGAAACATGTGGCATCTAAAAAATTTTCTCTTGTCTGAAAATACCTATTTCTGGATAAGTTAATCTCTTTTGCTAAATATTATATAGTTTCCTACTATAGAGTTATGGAGGTTATTGAGTTTTATTGAAATTGTTAATCGATCTTTGTTAGACCACCATTAAAAACCGGAATCACTGGACGGACGTATGGTGGTCTAACAATGATCGTTTCATGATTTAAACAATACTCAATAATCCACATAAATCTATAATAAAGAGTCATAAAATGAACTCACGTGGTGGATAAATTCTGGGAGTTCTAGTGAGAAGCGGTGACCAATGGAGTTCAACCCTATTGGGTGTAGGCAGCATCTACCGAAGACAATAAGTGAGGTTGAGCAGTATTATGGATTGATTAGAGTTAGATATCGACGCCGTTGTATGCCAGCTCGGTGGCGTAGAGGTTAAACGTTCGCACAAGGATGGAAGTCCTGGGTTCGATTTCCGCGAGCGGCCGTTGTGGACGTGGACTTCTAATGAGTCCTGAATTGGGATGAACGACCGTCCAGTACCTCCAGATAGTCTAGCACTGATCGATTCATAATTTTAATGAAATATTATAAAACCTAATCAGAGGTTAGACAGTCAGTCAGTTGCAACGTAGAACTTCGTACATATGTACATAAGTTCATGTTGCCATACCACATTAGCACAGAGATGCAAATGTCAAATCAAATCCCAAGTGAAGGAGATATTAGAGGTATTAATGGTAATGAAGAAGACTAGGGTTTGAAGATATTATTCAAGAAGTATAATTCAGTGAGATAAGGTTAGAAAGACAAAGGTAGAGGTGCTGACGAATCCAGAAGATTAGGATTTGAGAGACAACAACGAATGGATACACTTGCGCCATTGAAAACGATTTTGAGCCATGTCGTTCAAGGTCTCTAACCATTGGTCACTTTCGTCCCGCGGACTCCAACCAGGTAGTCTATATCCACCAACATGATTCAGTCCACTTGTCAGTGACTCCATGAATTTCTGCCATGTCTTGGTTTGGCCACCGCTACGTTTCCTCCAACCTACTCTTACACCACAAAACATAGCTCTTCGAGGCAGTCTGTGGTTAGGCATTCGTAACACATGTCCCAACCACCTCAGCTGATGAAGTTTCACCACTTCATCTATTGATCTGCCATCCTTACCAAGTACTCGTTTCCTAACGATAGCATTGCTTTTACGGTTGTCCCACGATATACGAGTAATGCTTCTCAGACATCTACGATCGAATACTAGTAACCTACGAAAGTACGCTACTCTTAACGGCCATGTTTCGCATCCGTATAGGAGAACGGAGCGAACTACTGCGCAGTACACCCGTCCTTAGTTAGCGAACAGATATCTCGCCTACGCCATAAACGGCGTAAATTGGCAAAAGCCAATCGAGCCTTCTGTATCCGAGCTGAGATTTCGTAAATCACCAGGCCATCAGCACTGATGAGACTCCCGAGATAAGTGAAATGATCAACACGCTCGACTACTTCACTCCCCATCAATAGTTCAGGTACCGATGCAACCCAATCTTGAAGCAACATTTTGCATTTCGAGGTTGAGAACCGCATCCCGATCATGCTTGCATTGTTGCTTAGGGAGGTCAGAAGACTCTGCATTTTGTCAGCGTCTTCACCAAGTAGGACTATGTCATCGGCATATTCTAGATCAGTAAGCGACTTTCCTGGTAGAAGGTCTACTGAAAAATCTGACGAGCTTAATGTTAACTCTAAGAGGATGTTTACGATAAAGTTAAACAAGAATGGAGAGAGTGGACAGCCCTGACGGACACCACTTGATGTAGAGAATTCCGGTGACAGTTCTCCATATGCTCTCACTCGACCAGTAGTGTTCGAGTAGAGAGCTTGTACAAGGTTAATGTTCTCATTTGGTACACTTTCCAATGACAATAATGCCACAGACCCTCAAGATCCACTGAGTCAAATGCCGCTTTTAGGTCCAGGAACACAACCATAGTCGGACTTCTAAATGTGTGTCTGTTTTCCAGGACCTATCGTAGTGTGAAGATGTGATCTATGCAACCACGTCCAGGTTGAAAACCAGACTGGTTTTCTCCAGTCTGCTCTTCACTTGCTCTTGTTAGACGTCTAAGTATAATGGAGGCTAACAATTTAGAAACTATATTAGTTAAACTTATTCCGCTGTGATTGTCACAAGAGGACTTCTGTCCTTTCTTGTAGGATGGGACAATTAGCGACTTAGACCAGTCAGATGAGATTACGTCCAGTTCCCAGATTCTATCTAGGATCTCGGTCAGTCTAACTGTTAAAACTGGACCACCATCCTTAAATATCTCAGGGGTCATTCTATCAGGACCTGCTGCTCTCCCTCCCTTTAGATTTCCTATAGCTATCTCAACCTCATGTAGACTTGGAGGACTCAAATCGATTTGCAATTCAGGATGACTGGGGATCGTGGGCGACCGAAGTGTGGCTGAAGACCAGTTGAACTGGACCCTAAAGTGTTCTGCCCATCGATCCAGTCTCCTGGATTGAGAATGGATAATAAAACCATCCTTTTCCGAGATAGTCTCACTCACATTCCGGTTCCTAATACCGGTTTCTTTGATAAGGAGGAAAAGTTGTCTAGTGTTGCCGATCGCCGCTGTCTTTTCCATCGCTTTTGCTTTCGCCACCCACCAATGTTCACGGTCGTTACGTAGGCTTTTTATCAGTTTTCGTCTAAGCTGACTACACTCTTCATCATGTTCAGAGTCAGGTGGGATGCGTTTTCGAGCATCCATCAGTTCGGTGGATGCGACTGAAATCCACGGCTTCATCCTAGCCTTATGGTTTACCTTGCTAGCAGATATCACTGTTCTTTCCACAGCCTTTTTGATATCATTCCAACCTGCTTCCGGATGGGAATCACTTAAATGGTGGCCTAACTGTTTTTCTAGTTCCTTCTGAAATATTTTCTTGGTTTGATTATCATTGAGTAAAGCCCTATGAGGCTTTCTTACAGTGTTTTTCCTACGCCCTGTAAGCCTCAAACAAATACGCGCTCGCACTAGGGCATGATCTGAATCTATACATGTGCCCCAGAACGAGCGACAGTCCTCTATCGAACACCTCCATCGGTGGCTGATGGCGATATGATCTAGTTGTGTCCAACGTTGAGACGACTTCGGGGGTCGCCAGGTCAAAAGATGTTTTTCCTTATGCTTAAAATTAGTTTGTGCTAGAAATAGGCAATTATCTGAGCACAGTTGCAACAGAGGTCGCCATTGTCTGTTTTTTGAGCCGCGAGACCATAAGATCCACCAAGGTGTCTTTCATTTTCACTTAGTATACCTACTCTAGCATTGAAGTCACCAGGCATTATTACTATATCAGAGCGCTTAACGTTTTGGAGGAGGTTCGGAAGCTTTCTGTAAAACTCATCATTCACATTTTCTGGACTGCAGTTAGTGGGGGGGTGTAGGCTGATATGACGAAGAGGCAACGATGGGTGTCCCTAACCTTCCGAATCCTTACTGTCCCGTTTAGTCGGACGGCGCACAAGCGACTATCTACAGGGATCCAGTCAAGGAGAGATTGTCCTGTCCTACGAATCAGTACTATACCTACACCAGCGAGACCCTTGAAAGCAGCATTAGGGCTACCGCATACACGAAGGGCAAATCGAGTTGCTTCTCTATCTTGACACGGTGAGGTCAGGTGAATGATGCTACTCATATCCTGTATGCGCGTTTCCGAGACGCAGCATAGATCGATGGCGCGAGAATCTAAAGTCCTAGCTAATGAGGCCTGTTGCCCTATTTGACACAATGTCCGTGCATTAAATGCTCCAACATGTCGTCTAAAACGGGGTTTCATGAGACCAGAAATGACGTTTCGTGAGCTCGCATCGTTTGCATTAGTGGTGCAGTGTGATAAATGAATGTGAGAAAAGTTAGTCATGGAGATAAGAAATGCATTAGGGGGTGCAAGAAGGATTTGATTTTGACAAATTTAGTCTCTCGTGCTGTTACGGGTATGAGGGCGGAGGTCACTTCTCGGCTTCCCACACCGTGGAGGGTTGTTTCTTGAGGGACCTGAAAAGGAAGGTAGATTAGTGTTGGTCTAAACGACCTGGC